CACCCTCCTTTGCTGACTCCATACATATTCACCCTCCTTTGCTGAATCCATACATATTCACCCTCCTTTGCTGAATTCATACATATTCACCCTCCTTTGCTCAATCCATACATATTCACCCTCCTTTGCTGACTCCATACATGTTCACCCTCCTTTGCTGACTCCATACATATTCACCCTCCTTTGCTGACTCCATACAGATAACAAGGAGATAAAAACCTGACACAACAATGTATGAACGGAATATTTACTTAAAACAGAGGTCAGGTTCCAGTAATGAATCTCTGCATCACCTCAAGAATGGAATTATTTGTAACTGCATCTAGCTCATGGTGGCCATTTAGAAATGTTTAAAGGAACATGGTCGCTAAGGTCAGAATGAGAAGTAAAAAGGAGTTGTCTTTGGTGAAAAGAGGGCAATGACGAAAAAAGTGAGAAGAATCTTCAACCGTACGACCACATATATACAGGGTTATTGAGTGGGAATTAAATAAATGAGCGTAAAAATTACTGACAGAATGTCTGACATATAGTTATATATATAGATATATATTAATTTTAACAGGTTGAAATAAGACATCTGTTTTTATTACACTTACAAAGACATTGTGGGAAACAGACAAGATGGGGTATTCCATTCAAATATTGTTAAAAATCTTAAAAAATGAAATATTTTGATGAAGGTGACGACGTTTTACAAGAAGTAAAGCAGATTCTCTGTATAAGACATGATGACTCATTCCACGTCTCAAGCCACTAATTAGGTGTATTGTCTCAAGTTGGATTGACTTAAGAAAAGGACTCAGTCTTATCAGGATTAAAAATGATTCCCAAATTTTGGGACCAAACAGATTTTTTTCAGATCATTATTCAGGGTATTCTTGTCTGTTTGATTCAATCAGACCATATAAGGACATATCACCAGCAAACAATTTTACATTAGAATATTTCTTCCTATCATTATTATAAAAACAAGTATGGGCTTAAAACGGATCCTTGGGGTATCCCTGCCTGTGCAGATTTCCAGTTATATCTAAATACATCTGTGTCTGTCTCCTATTAATTAGGTAAGATGTAAACCATTGCATTATGTTGTTACTAATGCCATATTTTTCAATTTATAAACTAGACCATCATGTTAAAGCCGATCACAAGCTTTACTAATATCACAGAATACCAATCTTGTCTCTTTGTCCATATGTTTAAGAATTTCATCATAAATGATTAATAATTGATTGACAGTAGAATCCTTCTGTATGAAGCCTGACAGATTCTTAGAAATTATATCATATCTAGAGAGATACTTAAACAAATATTTAAAAACAAATTTTTCAAAAATCTTCCTAAAAGCAGGAGTAACAGTGATAAGTCTGTAGATGGATGGGTCACTTTTTTCACCCTTCCTTTTGAATACAGGTGTTACATGAGCATTTTTTCCATAAGGAAAGAAATTTTCCTGTAGAGATAGATTTATTGAAGATGTGATATATTGATGTCACAGAGAATGAACAACTCCTTTAATGAATGTGGGAGGAACTGTGCCAGGACGCACAGCATTGTTAGTATTTAAGAAGATTTAGTTGATCAATAACATCCTGTTCAGTTATATCGATTGATGAGAAAATATGTCTAGGTCGAGGACAGTCAGGTGGTAAATTTCAGTATTCTTTTCAGTCAGATATAAAAGTAACCATTTAAAGATTCAGCTTTATCAATGGGATGTATTTTTAGATCACCGTTTATCACCAATGGGGAGTCAGTTTCACATTTGTTTTGAAAATTAATTACTGATTTTTGCAACTCGTCACACATTTTCCAGGGGAGGGGGGTTAGTTTTTATCAATATTACAGAGCTTTGTTGGTCTGTTTATCTGTCCTATCATCCTTTGTTTAAGACATATCTATTACAGAGCTTTGTTGGTCTGTTTCTCTGTCCTGTCATCCTTTGTTTACAATATATCTATTACAGAGCTTTGTTGGTCTGTTTCTCTGTCCTGTCATCCTTTGTTTACAATATATCTGTTACAGAGCTTTGTTGGTCTGTTTCTCTGTCCTGTCATCCTTTGTTTAAGACATATCTATAACAGAGCTTTGCTGGTCTGTTTATCTGTCCTATCATCCTTTGTTTAAGACATATCTATTACAGAGCTTTGTTGGTCTGTTTATCTGTCCTATCATCCTTTGTTTAAGACATATCTATTACAGAGCTTTGGTAGTCTGTTTATCTGTCTTATCATCCTTTGTTTAAGACATATCTATTACAGAGCTTTGTTGGTCTGTTTCTCTGTCCTTTCATCCTTTGCTTACAATATATCTATTACAGAGCTTTGTTGGTCTGTTTCTCTGTCCTATCATCCTTTGTTTAAGACATATCTATTACAGAGCTTTGTTGGTCTGTTTCTCTGTCCTATCATCCTTTGTTTACAATATATCTATTACAGAGCTTTGTTGGTCTGTTTCTCTGTCCTATCATCCTTTGTTTACAATATATCTATTACAGAGCTTTGTTGGTCTGTTTATCTGTCCTATCATCCTTTGTTTAAGATATATCTATTACAGAGATTTGGTGGTCTGTTTATCTGTCTTATCATCCTTTATTTAAGACATATCTATTACAGAGCTTTGTTGGTCTGTTTCTCTGTCCTTTCATCCTTTGCTTACAATATATCTATTACAGAGCTTTGTTGGTCTGTTTCTCAGTCTTATCATCCTTTGTTTAAGACATCTATTACAGAGCTTTGTTGGTCTGTTTCTCTGTCCTGTCATCCTTTGTTTACAATATATCTATTACAGAGCTTTATTGCTGTGTTTCTCTGTCCTATCATCCTTTATTTAAGATATATTTATTACGGAGCTTTGTTGGTCTGTTTGTCTGACCTACTTTTGTTCATATTTTGCCCTAGTTTTAATTTGTGCTTGGATTATCATTATGTTGATATAAAGGTATTTTCAGTTATTTTAATTATAAACCCCACAGGTGAAGTGAAAATGTCTAAACATTTAAATGACTAACCACGTTTGAACTTACAGGTCATCCTGACAACTTATAACACACACAGAATAAGCAGTTGAAGAATTAATGTTATTTTTCTACTACACTTAAATGTGATATTTGAAAATAGATATTCTATAAGGCTTGTAATTTAAACACTTCTTCAATACATCAGTACTTACAAAATGTGTATAAAATAACTTTTCATTCAATGCTTCATGAGATAAATTGATTTTACACACAATATCAACGTTTTTCAAAAATTTCAAATTTTGGTTGCCATGGCAACTTTAAAATGCAAACAAGAAATAAATTTGCTGTAAAATTCTAACAAATAAGGTTTTTCAGTTTCCTATTATATCTTCTGGTGGTTGACTAAACTGTTAATTTTGTTATACAAAGTTTCTTTCTAATGTAATGAAATTTTGACAGACCAAAATGAAATTTACTATTTTCAATAACATCAAATATTCGAAAAAACAAGATTGTAACCATGGCGATAACCAGGAATCAGTAAATTTCTGTAAAGTTCCTAATCCAGTAGTTCACAATACTATGAATTTCATGTCTTTTTTTTATTCACTTCCAGCTTCCAAAAACATTTGCTAATGATAGCAAATTGATATGTTTTCCACATGTTTAAAAATCTGGATGCTATGGTAACATCATATTTGTCAAACATGATTTTTGTCAAAAGATTTAGAAAGCTTTTATTCCAATGTTTAATATATAGGGGTTGTTTACCAAAAAGTTGACAGGAAAAGGGTGAAAATTCATGTTGAAGCAAATGACAGATTTTCCTGAGCATCATTAAAATTTCTGGGAATAACAGGGTTAAAGAACAAATAAAGAGCACATCACTGTGGGCGCCAAGATCCCTCTGAGGTCTCGTCTATTTTCTAGATCTGTTTCCGTTAGAATAAACTTACTGATTGTAAGATTTTGCAGACACCTAGAAAACCATTTGACAGAGATCTACAGAATTTTTTATATCAGGCTAGTAATCATGTTTATACCTTTTTCTGTTGTGAAGAATTCATTTTTAATATTTTCTTTGTTACCATGGAAACAAATGTGCAACCGATCTCTACAAAACTATATACAGTTGGTAAACCAGCTTTGGTATAAGGTAATCATTTTCTTTTTTCTTTCAATTTTGGATTTCACGTTGAGAGTAAATTTTCTATATCACATGGATAGGTGGTACATGGATTGTTGTTGTTTATACACAAAAATAAACTTAATAACAAAAATATCATTACTATTTGATCAAGCATACCAAGTATTGCTAAAGCTATCCACTACTGGCCCTCACAAATTTTACACTGTAATGATTTATAAAGATGGTACTTTTTGGTGTCAATTTGAAAATTATATACAATTAATTTGTAAGTGTTTTAATAAAACATTGCATTAAATAATACAATCAGTAATACCACCAGTAATTGACCTTGATCCAACAACCTTGAAAATTGCTTTAATAATTTCTGAGTTTTTTGAAAAGCTACCTTGGAGTGAAGCTGCTAGACAATTTTCTGAAAACAGTAAGTGACCTTGACCTTGACACAACAACCTTAAACTCAAGCTTCCTCAACGTATTCTAATGATTTATATGGCAAAGATCCTCCCTGAAAGATAGAAAACATGAGCACTAATATTGATTTTCTGAAAATAGAGACGATGACCAGGTCCTAAAAATCTTAAAACTTGAATGTTTGATACTTATGTGAAGTTTAGTGTGAATTTCTGAAGGAATGAAGCCGTTTGAGTGTTGAGATTGATTTTCTAAAATTAGTAATGGTGACCTTGACCAGTCCTGACACTATTTTGATGCTTGTGTGTGGAGTATAATGAGAATCCTTCAAGGGATGAAACCACTACAAGTGCTAACAAACTTTGTCACATACTGCTGTTGCTGAACGAACGGATGCCTGGACACATGGATGGACCCTTGGACGGACAGACAGATGAATGGACTGACAGAGAGACAGACAATATAACAAATAAAAAGATGGAAATCAATTTAATTCTCAGTGTACATCTATCATTTTTTCCTCTTTCTTTCATCATCCACTGACACACATACCAGAACAGACATAGCACTACATAAAACACCTCAGAGCAAGTGTGTAAATAAGGATTATCCTTTCATTCTGTAACACAAGGTACACCAGTCCTAATGAAAGATTCAGATATTTGTGCATATTTTGAGATAGACCAAGCATTTCAGTTTGAGACAAGTCAATATTGTAGTGGTTTAAAAATGAAAATATTTATCTTTACAAATAACAGTTTTTTAGTTTACATGAAAGTGAAGACAAAATTTGTTTCGTATCCTCATGTCAATATAAAAGAGTTTGTATGAAATTAATTCATGAATTTTAATGCATCACGTCAATAGTTTTTATTCTGGTTCAATTTATTCTGAATGTATCATGACTGATAACTTGATGGATCTCCTTTTCTATGTTACAGGTAGTAGTACTTCTAATTGAAATTTTCCAAAGAAACACATTCACTTCCTGTATCAATGAATCACCATTGTTAAAACAATTGGACTGTATTCCACTGTTGTCACTCTAGTTTACTACATCATATATAATTGTTTATTGTTGTAAAAGATACTACAGACAATTACATGTTCCCTTGTGTGCACTGGAATTGTACGGTATATGTAAGTCCATTACATAGCCATCTTTGGATCGGTTAACATTATGTGTTACACATTTCTGTAAAAAAGACTCCATGGTTCTATAACAATATCAGCAATCATGAGTGATTCTGTTAAATAACATTTTACTGACACTTGATTTGGTTAACTAACATGTACCTGTTAACTAACATGTACTGTTACCTAACATGTACTGTTACCTAACATGTACTGTTAACTAACATGTACCTGTTACCTAACATGTACCTGTTAACTAACATGTACTGTTAACTAACATGTACCTGCTAACTAACATGTACCTGTTAACTAACATGTACCTGTTAACTAACATGTACCTGTTACCTAACATGTACCTGTTAACTAACATGTACCTGTTAACTAACATGTACCTGCTAACTAACATGTACCTGTTAACTAACATGTTCAATTAACTGACACTTGATTCTGTTATATAACATTTGATTCTGCAAAATATTTAACTGACACTTGATGCTTTTAACCAACATGTTCCATTAACTATGTTCTGTTAACCAACATGTTCCATTAACTATGTTCTGTTAACTAACATGATTCGTTAACAAACATATTTTGTTAACCAACATGTTCCATTAACTATGTTCTGTTAACTAACACATTCCATTAACTATGCTATGTTAACTAACACGTTCTGTTAGCCAACTTGTTCCATTAACTATGTTCTGTTAACTAACACATTCCATTAACTATGTTCTGTTAACCAACATGTTCCATTAACTATGTTCTGTTAACCAACATGTTCCATTAACTATGTTCTGTTAACCAACATGTTCCATTAACTATGTTCTGTTAACTAACACATTCCATTAACTATGTTCTGTTAACTAACACGTTCTGTTAGCCAACTTGTTCCATTAACTATGTTCTGTTAACTAACATGTTCAATTAACTATGTTCTGTTAAACAACATGTTCCATTAACTATGTTCTGTTAACCAACATGTTCCATTAACTATGTTCTGTTAACTAACACATTCCATTAACTATGTTCTGTTAACTAACACGTTCTGTTAGCCAACTTGTTCCATTAACTATGTTCTGTTAACTAACATGTTCAATTAACTATGTTCTGTTAACTAACATGATTCGTTAACAAACATATTCTGTTAACCAACATGTTCCATTAACTATGTTCTGTTAACTAACACATTCCATTAACTATGTTATGTTAACTAACACATTCTGTTAGCCAACTTGTACCATTAACTATGTTCTGTTAACTAACATGTTCCATTAACTATGTTCTGTTAACTAACATGATTTGTTAACCAACATGTTCCACAACTTTTTAAAGATTACCTGTTAAGTAACCTCCTCAGATCCATTACAGTACAATGTAATGCACAAACTCTTGGCAATATCCCACTGAACATGTTATATATCTTAAAGTTACACAAATCTATTCATGTCCCTTACATAACCAGCTTTGGATTTATTAAATATGAGCTGTTGTTGAATGATGTCATGTCGGAAGTGCTGCGAGATCTGCCACAAGAGGAAGGATTTGTTCTGTGCGAAGACGCCAGTTCTTTATGTCCTTAGAAACATGGCACCATTTTTCACCATGACGAGGGTCAGCATTCACACAGCGAGTCAGCACATTGTTCTGTGATTCCTGTACAAAAAAGAAGAAAAAAATGAAGATGATGTATGTTATCTGAAGGTTTTGTCTTCACAAAGGGGGTAACATTACTGTATGTTACCTGTGTAACATCCAGGGGGCCTAGTCCTCAGATAGGGGGTAACATTACTGTATGTTACCTGTGTAACATCCAGGGGGCCTAGTCCTCAGAGAGGGGGTAACATTACTGTATGTTACCTGTGTGACATATCCAGGGGGCCTAGTCCTCAGATAGGGGGTAACATTACTGTATGTTACCTGTGATAAGTCCTGGGGACCTAGTCCTCAGATAGGGGGTAACATTACTGTATGTTACCTGTGTAACATCCAGGGGGCCTAGTCCACAGATAGGGGGTAACATTACTGTATGTTACCTGTGACATATCCAGGGGACCTAGTCCTCAGATAGGGGGTAACATTACTGTATGTTACCTGTGACATATCCAGGGGACCTAGTCCTCAGATAGGGGGTAACATTACTGTATGTTACCTGTGACATATCCAGGGGACCTAGTCCTCAGATAGGGGGTAACATTACAGTATGTTACCTGTGATCAGTCCAGGGGACCTAGTCCCCAGATAGGGGGTAACATTACAGTATGTTACCTGTGATCAGTCCAGGGGACCTAGTCCCCAGATAGGGGGTAACATTACAGTTTGTTACCTGTGACATATCCAGGGGGCCTAGTCCTCAGATAGGGGGTAACATTACTGTATGTTACCTGTGACATGTGGAGGAGAACTAGTCCTCAGATAGGGGGTAACATTACTGTATGTTACCTGTGACATGTGGAGGAGAACTAGTCCTCAGATAGGGGGTAACATTACTGTATGTTACATGTGATCAGTCCAGGGGACTTAGTCCCCAGATAGGGGGTAACATTACAGTATGTTACCTGTGATCAGTCCATGAGACCTAGTCCTCAGATAGGGGGTAACATTACTGTATGTTACCTGTGACATATCCAGGGGGCCTAGTCCTCAGATAGGGGGTAACATTACTGTATGTTACCTGTGACATGTGGAGGAGAACTAGTCCTCAGATAGGGGGTAACATTACTGTATGTTACCTGTGACATGTGGAGGAGAACTAGTCCTCAGATAGGGGGTAACATTACTGTATGTTACCTGTGACATGTGGAGGAGACCTAGTCCTCAGATAGGGGGTAACATTACTGTATGTTACCTGTGACATGTGGAGGAGACCTAGTCCTCAGATAGGGGATAACATTACAGTACGTTACCTGTGACATATCCAGGGGACCTAGTCCTCAGAATGTCTTACCTCATTTCCATGTTGGAGTTCAAACTTGTAATAGTATGCCCATGCATCGCCTAGATCAGGGTCAATCCGCACGGTACGATTAAACCATTCCCTAGCTTTGTTCACTTTCCTCTCCGCCCAAAATATAAACCTGGGAACACAGACAACAACGATTAATTGATTAAAATCTTATCGTTTAAGTCATATTTAATCATACAATATGTAATTTCTACACAGTCATGAAACTACTGATAGTCTTTTTCATGATATAATGAAAACTTCTGGTAGTTCACACAACATATAAAACAATCAGTATCAACTTTTACGTGTCATTCCACATGGCTTAGTTGAAAGTGTACACGAAGGAAAAAGTGTACCAAAAACTCATGATAATCGCGCAGGTGACCAGATCATTACCTGTCTGATCAGGAAACCATAGAAATACACAAGTATTCTTTCCAGTTTGCCACCAAAATCACCCACTTTTTATCTAACACGGATATCTACAATTCTGTTATCATATAGCTTATCATTTTCGCAGGGATGTTTATCACTATTTTGTGGTAAATTAAAATGATTGTGAAAAATTTACTCAGCAAAATAACGAGACATGGGTGTTAAAGATTTGTCTCTTTAGATTATAAAAATCCAATTCTTTGTATATTATTCAGGTCAATTTGAAAGAAAATGATGAAAATTTTGAATCATGATAATTATTTGCTATAAGGCATTATAAATGGTAGCTTACTTGGCTGCAGCCAGAAGTACATGAGGGTCATGTTCACATCGCTTCAGGGCGTCAACAGATTTTGTTTTCCTCTGGGGGCGAGGCTCCATGAAAATTGACTCTGCCCACAGAATACCAGCATTAGGACAATCCTGGATAGCTGTGGAGTCAGAGGTATGTTAAAGTTGTAGTAAACATCATACATTTACAAGAATCCTTGTAATTGGCACATATTTGTAGACGTCAAGAACAGCAGTCTGTAATGTCTTAGAGTACTGAAGGGTCTGTACACTGTTCTTGTTTATAATGAATAAACATCACAAACATTTCATGGGTGTGAAATTTTCCTGACAGCTACTAAATACAGTCGAACCATGTTATCTTAAACTCTGTACGACTATGAGAAAACTTTGCGATACTCGTGCATGCGATGCAAGTGAGTTATGTTTTGTGTAAAATTTGACAGGGACCCACGGAATGGTTCGAATTATACACGGTCATCCAGTTATACAAGTTTTTATACAGCTTTTAATAATAGGCTTCAAGAAATTTATGAATTTACAGAAGTAAGCAACCTGTAAAATTGGAAATTACACCCTGAAAAACACACTGAAGGCACTAAAGCTGAAAAATTGTACATATCTTTGTTTTCCCCCACCCCCTCTTTTGCTTTTTTTTGGGGGGATATTTTTCAGATATCAGAACTGACTTCAATCCATTGCTGTTGTACTTGCCTCTTGCCATCAAGGTCTGTGCAATGTTTTTTAAGCTGCCTCTGTTTTCCACTCTCACAGCCTCTAGCCTGCAGATTGGAAATATCAGAAAAGGAGAGTAATAAGCTTGACTCACCACAAAGATTGTACAACTGACACACAATCAAATATTACCTTTGAATACAAATTTACGATTAGATACAGCAGAGTCAAACAGGGAGTAACAGGATTATCTACAAACAAACACTTTTGCGTGTCAAGAGTGATGACAACACAAATTCACGATTTATTCGTGCAACAGTTGTTGGGGAAAGGAGCTGCTGGTGTTGTCATCACTCTTGACATGCATTTTACTAAGAAAGAACCAGTGAGGACTCTTGTATACCTTTCGGTATCCATGGCAGCCCCAGGGAGCAATAATTGAACTTTTCGATTGTGGGACGTTGATCCTCCACCCCCCTGTTTTGAAATAGTACCTTTGAATACAAATTACGACTAGATACAGCAGTCAAACTGGGAGTAACAGGATTATCTATAATTAAACAATGGCAATGTTTTTTTTTAAACAATCTTGTGATTAATCTTAAAAAAGGTGATATGAAAACTTTTAATATCATTCACAGTTACATAATTAATTACTAACACACAACCACTGACAGTTGGTTTTTTACTGTCAAATTCTTGTATTGATGAATCCAGACAAATTATTCTACCAGGAAAGAGTGTATTCCAGAAGTGGAAGGTTTCCCTTCTGAATACACACAAATTCTCCATCAAGAAAATATACTCATGTAGTCTTCATGTATGTCAAGTTTGATTATCATAAATCTAAAACTTCAGTAGTTATAACAGGCTAAGAGATTCTCTGTCAGAATTTACCATAAAGTCAACCACGTTCACTACGTCCATACTTATTTCATCTCTGATCCAAAGGGTCAACAATTGGACTATGAGTAACAAGACCTAATAAAATCTGTTACCCGAAACTGAGTGAAATCAGGGTATCTCAGCTGAGGGCTTAGATTCTGTAACATAATCCCAACCGAGGCATCAGCTGAGGTTAGGATGTTAAAGGATCTTAGCCCGAGACTGAGATATCCCAATCTTGCTCAGTTACAGGTAATAGATTTTTTCTCTCACACCTACTACTCTGAAAATTATTCAATATTTCATCAGAGTTTGGTGTACCCGTGAGAGCCTCAAACTACCCACAAAACCTCTTCACTTTTAAACATCTAGATAGTGCTGCATAAACAATGTAGTCAGCACTTACAAAAAATATGTCACATTTTACAGTGAAGATCTTATTTTATCTACAACATCAGGAATCTTAACATAAAAAAATACACAAAACAGATAATATAAAGCAGAATATAAATTTTGAACTGATTTTTATATATATACATTTCTACATGTGGATGAATACACCAATGCATAAAAGATTCATCGAAAACACACATAAGGGTGCTAGACAGATCAGGTGAGGGAGAAATATGTAGGATGGGATATTACGTGGGATATCCCTGTCTGAGGTGAGAAAAAACAATATATTGTAAGTATCCTGGTCCATTTTCATACAAGTATTGACTTCTGTCAGAGCTACACCTCATCAGAAACAGATAACATCAGATTGTACTTACCAAAGATGTGACTGTTGTGGGTTTTTTAGTCTGGCTTTTTCCAGGATGGACCGAGCCTTTATCAACTGTCCAGATTTTTCTTCAAGTCTTGACGTCAACAGCCAGAGAGGAATTGCTTTTGGACATTTCTTCAGCTGAGATGCAAATCACAATATATTGTTATTCCAGCAATGGACAACCTAATTTCAATACAATACTGTTCGTTTACTTAGTCTTACTGGAACATAAGTATAATGAAGGTTGGTATCAATTCTAAAGTTTTAGGAATTATTTTATAACAGTCATATTTTAAAAATATCATGAATTTCTTATAAGTTATTTCACTAATAAAGTAACATTTTGAAGAAAAATGTATTGTTTAAACAGCATTGATTTTATTAATTAAATACATTATTATATTTTGAAAATAACTTTTTTTTTCATATAGTCTTATTTTACTAAGGGAGTCTTATTTTGAGGAAAAACAGGTTGTTAATATAGAAGTACTGAATAAAGTTGGATTTGGGATAGGCAGGCAACAAACTGAGATAAAGATGTTATAGCTGTGTTTAGTTATACAACCAGACTGTAACCCACACATCAATAAAGGTATCTAGTTATACAGCACCAGACTGTAACCCACACATCAATACAGGTATTTAGTTATACAGCACCAGACTGTAACCCACACATCAATAAAGGTATCTAGTTATACAGCACCAGACTGTAACCCACACATCAATACAGGTATTTAGTTATACAGCACCAGACTGTAACCCACACATCAATACAGGTATTTAGTTATACAGCACCAGACTGTAACCCACACATCAATACAGGTATTTAGTTATACAGCACCAGACTGTAATCCACACATCAATACAGGTATTTAGTTATACAGCACCAGACTGTAACCCACACATCAATACAGGTATTTAGTTATACAGCACCAGACTGTAACCCACACATCAATACAGGTATTAAGTTATACAGCACCAGACTGTAACCCACACATCAATACAGGTATCTAGTTATACAGCACCAGACTGTAACCCACACATCAATACAGGTATTTAGTTATACAGCACCAGACTGTAACCCACACATCAATACAGGTATTTAGTTATACAGCACCAGACTGTAACCCACACATCAATACAGGTATTTAGTTATACAGCACCAGACTGTAACCCACACATCAATACAGGTATTTAGTCATACTGCACCAGACTATAACCCACACATCAATACAGTAAAACAAACAGAGATAAAGATGTTATAACAGTATTTAGTTATACAGCACCAGACTGTAACCCACACATCAATACAGGTATTTAGTTATACAGCACCAGACTGTAACCCACACATCAATACAGGTATCTAGTTATACAGCACCAGTAACCCACACACTGTAACCCACACATCAATACAGGTATTTAGTTATACAGCACCAGACTGTAACCCACACATCAATACTAGTAACCCACACATCAATACAGGTATTTAGTTATACAGTAACCCACACATCAATACAGGTATCAGGTATTTAGTTATAGTTATACTGTAACCCACACACAATACAGTAAAACAGACTGTAACCCACACATCAATACAGGTATTTAGTTATACAGCACCAGACTGTAACCCACACATCAATACAGGTATTTAGTTATACAGCACCAGACTGTAATCCACACATCAATACAGTAAAAGTTTCAATCTGATTTAGATAAAACATGAAGTAAACACATTAGTTTAGTTACAAATGTAACTCACTCCAAGACTGTATGCCTCTCTAGCCTCAGAACTCTTGCCCTGTTGCTCAGCAATCTGTCCTTTCATCATCCATAACTGTTAAAATAGAAAGACACTCTGTAATGTTAAAGTTTGGTATCATGGAAGTGACTTAAATATCAAAAGTGAAATCTTCAATATTCCTTCTCTTTCTTACTTCCTGTGTAGAATTGTGCTATGTAAAGTAAGAGTGAAATGGTTGGTATCTTAATTTCAGTGAATTAAACTGTGAATTTTAAACTGCACTTATATCAGGTCAAACGCCCGGTACATGTGTGTTTGTATGTAGTGGAATAATTGATTTACAGTGAAGTCATCAGAAAAGTCTATGAGAATTTAATCTACTTTACTTTTCCCGCCATTAATTCCAATAATTCCAGACCATCTAAACCATTTCAGCCAGGTTATGTGAATGCAGCCTAAAGCTCTAATGTCTGTTTTTAAATTACAGTAATCTCCCTTTGATATATTGAAAAAGAGTGACGTCATCAGAAAAGTCTATGAGGTTTAAATCTACTTCACTTTTCCAGCCATTAATCTCTCACTTTATTAACGTGAATTATTTATTTCCTGGATCACGTTTGTTAACAGTAGAAATGACACAAGTTGAAAGACACTTTGTTTTACCATAACAGTGTTTAGTTTTTTACTTTTGTCTAACTATTACATAAATCAACCTACAAACAAACATGATACAGTGAAACATGTAGTAAAATGTGATTTCTGTAAAAATACTTTTGGAGTGAATTGATATTTTGGTTTAACAAAATAATTCAGAGAAGGCATTAAATAATACATGCTGATTTGTTTAATGTGAAAAATAAGAGAAGATTTCTTTACATTTTCTACAGAAATGATTATCAATCTCTAGTGAGCTCTCTCAAAACCTTCTCCTCAAAATATATTTTGTTAAATCACAAGACACAATGAAAAGATTTTCATACACACCTTTGGAAAGTCTGGGTAATGCTTGACTGCTTCGTCCAGGAGTGTGTTGGCATTCTTTATCTCTCCTAAACACCACTCAAGCTTAACAGACTTCATCATCACCTGTACACAACCAACAAACCATCATCATCCGGGATATAAAAACGATTCGTACTTCTGTGTATTATAACGTTCGTCGCGACATATGCACTTGACACTGATTAACCCCAGTTGTTAGAGATAACCAGTGGTTTGTCAAAAATTGTAAATATGAACTATAAAATAAATTGGGAACATTTTTTATCATTTCTTAAATGTGATTTTGTTGAGAAAAGCTAGATTGAAATATTTTGTGTGTTAATTTTGTCTTTGATGCTCTTGTTTTTTTTAAGAGTAACCTTTTGAATTTTTCGCTTGCGGTTGGGTAACTCTAACTAACCGTTGTGTAACTGGGGCTTGATAAACAATGCAGAGTTTTGCAAAATATACTCTTGTGTCAGAACTAAACATTTTCCTTGTTGATTTCAGTATCTTGATTTTGACCTGTTTGTTAGAGTACATACCCGTGCTGTAGGGGCACTAGCGCGAGCCTTCTGTAGGAGTCTCCTGGCTCTCTCAAATTCATTGTTTTCAGACTCCAGCTTCACAGCAGCTAACCAGATCTCTTCACTGTTAGGATTGGCCTGGAATGCTAAAGCCAGGATACTTCTGGCTGCTGGAACATCACCCTGATTTACAAAACAAGTAAATGAGTACTGTAGAATACTTTTAAACCTCTGTCAATCTCCTCTCAGCCCTCAACTTCAACACCTACTCTCAAATTCTTCACATCTCCCTTCACACTACCTCTCCCTTCCCTCACATTAACCTTTCCTTCATCATTCCTATACCTCCCTTTGCAATTTCTTTCCTCCTTCTTCACACCTCCTCCCTCTCTCCTCATTCCTCTCTCCCCATACACCTCCCTTCAAACCTCCTATCTCCTTTCACACCTCCTCCCTCAAACCTCCTTCCTCTCCCCTCACATATCCTCCCCTCCCTACACATCTCCCCTCACATCTCCTCCCCTCCCTACACACCTCCCCTGACATCTCCTCTCCTCCCTACACACCTCCCCTGACATCACCTCCCCTCCCTACACACCTTTCCCTCACATCTCCTCCCCTCCCTACACACCTCCCCTCACTCCTCTCAATCCAAACACCACCTACCCCTAACCTCACATCTCCTCCCCTCCCTACACACCTCCCCTGAAATCTCCTCTCCTCCCTACACACCTCCCCTGACATCTCCTCCCCTCCCTACACACCTTCCCCTCACATCTCCTCCCCTCCCTTCACACCTTCCCTCACTCCTCTCTCCCAAACACCACCTACCCCTAACCTCACATCTCCTCCCCTCCCTACACACCTCCCCTGACATCTCCTCCCCTCCCTACACACCTCCCCTCACATCTACTCTCTCCCCTCGCTCCTCTCTCCCAAAACACCTCCTACCCCTCCCCTCACATCTCCTCCCCTCCTTTCACACCTCCTCCCTGATCTCCATTCTTGACTCTGTCTCCTTACACTAACACCTTCCTTTACATTCTACTTACAGCAAGCCACTTTGATTTAGCTCCCATCAGCCACAGAACCTCAGCCTTGGGACAATGGGCTACAGCTCGCTGTAACAAGGATTCCAGTGATTCCCTGATAGATAAAAATTACAACATACATTTTAGGATGGCTGTAACTCATAAGTATATACAGGTTGTACTTTTACCACTGGAATATCTGATACTTTTACCACTGGAATATCTGATACTTTTACCACTAGAATATCTGATACTTTTACCACTGGAATATCTGATACATTTACCACTAGAATATCTGATACCTTTACCACTAGAATATCTGATACATTTACCACTAGAATACCTGATAATCTCCACCACAACACAGTATATATTTACCTTGTACCATGACTTTTCTCAAAGTAGGCTGCTCGTAACCATATACTCTTTTTACTTGGAAACTCAGTTAAAGCAAAGGCATAAATGGCCCGAGCACATTCATAGGCTCCATTCACAGCACACTATAAAAGGTAATTAAACATCATAAACATCTATAACCTTTACATATTTGAGGATATGGTATCAACTTACTTTACAAGCAGGTAAGCTAAAAACCAAGTTTATATGTAACCAGTAGCATTCAATATTAAAAACTTTTACTTGTGATGAGGTGCTTACCGATTCAGCATCCTCCATCCACGTGTGTTTACGGTCTTCTTCTTCAATACCAACACTGATAATGGACCGGCTGTAGAAGAAATAGACTACATTAATATTGGCTTTAAACAGACCAATGAAAAGAGCTGTTACATACATGATGGCTTAAGATTAAGACTAGGGAAAGATTTATCACAATTTCCAAGTCAGAGCAGAAGCAACATTCCAATAGACCAATGAGAAAAGTTTTTACATATTAACAGTGTAGCTTTATTTCATCTATGAAACATCACTTTTTTTTAATATCACCAGTGGAATTATTACTTTTACATATCCTTATCACATTTGTGTGTTAAAACATCATTTTAGTTATCAAATTTGATTTCTAAGCTTTTTAGCTTTGACCAAAAACATTTTTATGAACAAGTCTGCCTGAGGAAATGAGGTGAATTGGCACCAATGTAACATGTTATATTTTATATACTACAGCTCAATTGGCCAATGAGGAAGTCAGTTTCATACAAAATAATCCTAAGGACTAATGAGACAAGCTGTAACTTAAAAAAATAATCTTAATGGACCAATGAGAAGAGGTGTTACATACATGATTGCCTGACAGGTGATGATACTGCCACTTTTCTCACAGTCCTCCCCATCCTTAATCCACTGTTCTCTGTTCACCTCCACCATGTTGGCTCGGAGAGAATTCAGAGCTATCATAAAAACAAATGCACAACATATTGAACTATAAAACAATAAAAGGTGCACACATTCCAAAATAGATGTTTACCAGAAATTACTTTTTTCCAAATAAGGCACCAACCTGAACAAGAAGTCCTATGAACAAAAACTTCAGAAAGACATATCTAATACTTTCTACAGCAACTATAAACCTTGGCTCTAAAACTCCAAAATGGATGTCTATAAGTCGTCCTCTAGTTTAATTGGTCACAAAACTGAACAAGAAGAGATATCAAGTGAGATATATCTAGTATTTATTCAGAAATATTGATAACATTATTTGATAGACACAATCTTTACAATATTTGGCTTCAGATTTTGGTTTATCAATGCCTGCTGTTGCTGGTGTCAATGCTGTTTTTCCCTTTTACTAAGAACAGATTAAATCACCTTCAGAAAATCAAAGAATTCATGAGAACATGTGCCATACCTCTGTCTATAATTTTCTCCACCATTTGTATGTTGCCGTTGGCTTCTTCCAGTTTCGCAGCTGTGATCCAAATCTGACGGTCAGTAGGAATGTTCTCGCGAGCTTTGTTCAGAACTTTACGAGCATTCTCATACGTCTCCAGTCTAGCTAAGGCTAACCAAAGCTGAAGACAGAATATTGAGTATACACAGTGTTGCCATGGCTAGCCAAAGCCGAGGATAAAATATCTGATATTTGTTAATCAATAAGCCTAGGGGTAACACATACCCTTTGACTCTAAGTCAGTGGTGGGATTATACCAGTACAATGTAGACAATTTGTTTGTAACGCTGCTAAACCACATTAAGTATGGGTAACTTATCAGACAAGAACTTATATGAATAAATATGGTATAATATATCGTTCTATTAATTACAACAGGGCTGTCCAAGGCTGAACCTAAACAAAAGGCTGAACTTATACAAAAGGCTGAACCTATACAAAAGGCTGAACCTAAACAAAAATCTGAACCCAAACAAAAGGCTGAACCTATACAAAAGGCTGAACCTATACAAAAGGCTGAACCTATACAAAAGGCTGAACCTAAACAAAAGGCTGAACTTATACAAAAGGCTGAACCTATACAAAAGGCTGAACCTAAACAAAAATCTGAACCTAAACAAAAGTCTGAACCCAAACAAAAGGCTGAACCTATACAAAAGGCTGAACCTATACAAAAGGCTGAACCTAAACAAAAATCTGAACCTAAACAAAAGTCTGAACCCAAACAAAAGGCCGAACCTATACAAAAGACTGAACCTTAACAAAAGGCTGAACTTATACAAAAGGCTGAACCTAAACAAAAGTCTGAACCCAAACAAAAGTCTGAACCTATCACAGAATGCTGAAGTCTGAACCTTAACAAAAAGCTGAACCTATACAAAAGGCTGAACCTATACAAAAGGCTGAACCTATATAAAGGCTGAACCTAAACAAAAGTCTGAACCTATATAAAGGCTGAACCTAAACAAAAGGCTGAACCTATCACAGAATGCTGAACCTATACAAAAGTCTGAACCTTAACAAAAGGCTGAACCTATACAAAAGGCTGAACCTATCACAGAATGCTGAACCTATACAAAAGTCTGAACCTTAACAAAAGGCTGAACCTAAACAAAAAGCTGAACCTAAACAAAAGTCTGAACCTATACAAAAGGCTGAACCTGTACAGAAGGCTGAACCTAAACAAAATGTTGAACCTAAACAAAAGGCTGAACCTATACAAAAGGCTGAACCTATACAAGAAATTTTTTGCATTTTCCTAATTTTTTAATTATCACTACCTTCTGATTTAATCTGGAATGCAACATGTTTTCTTAATCCAAATAGGATACAAAAAGTTTTACCTCAACACTTGTAGGACAACATTCAACAGCTCGACTCAACATGATCCTGGCATCCACCTCATCTTCAAGCTCCACTGCCATCTTCCATAGTTTAACAGAGTTTGGGATGTGCTCCAGTGCTGAGGAGACAAACAACAGAAGACATTATCACAACCTTTCTGTTGGAAAAGTTTCTTTTCAATAAATACTAATCATGCTATCCCATTGTTCAAGATTACTATGAGCAGAATTCCAAGAATCAAGCTTTTCAATATTTACTGCACATGAAACTGAATAATTTTCCCTCAAGTTAAACTTTCAAAATATATCCAATGGTTATATTCTGTCCAATCCCCCCTCCCCTCCCAACTTCCCCTTAATCCTCAATTTAGTAGCACTATAATGTCAGCATCAGTTCCAAACTATCAGACGAAGGCATACATGGACATATTGTAGTCTCCCAGACACATGTAGTCAACACATGTTCCCACCTTGTATACATTGAAAGATCTTAAATGACCTTTGCTCTTGATAGGATATTAAACAACATGAAACCAAACCTTTTCTGAAGACCCGTTTCTTTGGTTTTAATTCATTTTCCAGGTCAGATGCCTTGATCCACAATCTCACAGACGATGGTAGATGTCGCACGGCTTGGGCAACAATAGCCTTGCCCTGGTCGCCTGGCTACAATCCAAGCATAATTATACTTTAATAACTGATATCACAGTCTTTATAATAATAAATGTTTATCTGCTTTAACAAGTGTCATTTAGAGCACATTAGATCCTGAAAAATGACCCTGACCATCAACAAGGTTTGTCCTCTCTTGCAGCCTGACCATCCACAAGGTTTGTCCTCCCTTGCAGCCTGACCATCAACAAGGTTTGCCCTCCCTTGCAGCCTGACCATCCACAAGGTTTGTCCTTCCTTGCAGCCTGACCATCAACAAGGTTTGTCCTCTCTTGCAGCCTGACCATCCACAAGGTTTGTCCTTCCTTGCAGCCTGACCATCAACAAGGTTTGTCCTCTCTTGCAGCCTGACCATCCACAAGGTTTGTCCTCCCTTGCAGCCTGACCATCAACAAGGTTTGTCCTCTCTTGCAGCCTGACCATCAACAAGGTTTGTCCTCCCTTGCAGCCTGACCATCAACAAGGTTTGTCCTCCCTTGCAGCCTGACCATCAACAAGGTTTGCCCTCCCTTGCAGCCTGACCATCCACAAGGTTTGTCCTTCCTTGCAGCCTGACCATCAACAAGGTTTGTCCTCCCTGACAGCCTGACCATCCACAAGGTTTGTCTACCTTTGCAGCCTGACCATCCACAAGGTTTGTGCACCTTTGCAGCCTGACCATCCACAAGATTTGTCCTCCCTTATAGCCTGACCATCCACAGGCTTTGTCCTCCCTTGCAGCCTGACCATCCACAAGGTTTGTCCTCCCTTACAGCCTGACCATCCACAAGCTTTGTCCTCCCTTACAGCCTGACCATCCACAAGGTTTGTCCTCCCTTGCAGCCTGACCATCAACAAGGTTTGTCCTCTCTTGCAGCCTAACCATCCACAAGGTTTGTCCACCTTTGCAGCCTGACCATCCACAAGGTTTGTCCTTCCTTGCAGCCTGACCATCAACAAGGTTTGCCCTCCCTTGCAGCCTGACCATCCACAAGGTTTGTCCTTCTTTGCAGCCTGACCATCCACAAGGTTTGTCCTCCCTTGCAGCCTAACCATCAACAAGGTTTGCCCTCCCTTTGTCCTCTCTTGCAGCGTGACCATCAACAAGGTTTGTCCTCCCTTACAGCCTGACTATCAACAAGGTTTGCTCTCCCTTACAGCCTGACCATCCACAAGCTTTGTCCTCCCTTGCAGCCTGACCATCAACAAGGTTTGTCCTCCCTTACAGCCTGACCATCTACAAGCTTTGTCCTCTCTTGCAGCCTGACCATCAACAAGGTTTGTCCTCCCTGGCAGCCTGACCATCCACAAGCTTTGTCCTCCCTGGCAGCCTGACCATCCACAAGGTTTGTCCTCCCTTGCAGCCTGACCATCAACAAGGTTTGTCCTACCTTGCAGCCTGACCATCAACAAGATTTGTCCTACCTTGCAGCCTGACCATCAACAAGGTTTGTCCAACCTTGCAGGGAACAAGAGTACTAAATTGACTATATTTTGTGGTAAATTACGTTTGAGTTCTGCTTACATATTCTAAAACTATCTGGACTTGACATGAAGAAGTTGGGCTGCCTCACTTACCATAAGTCTGGCAGCTTCCAGCCAGGCATCCTCGCTCTTCGGACACTCCTCACAACCCTTCATGATGAGGTTTCTGGCTGCCTGCACCTTGCCTGTCACTTCCTCTAACCTTGCTGAGGCTATCCAAGCTGGCACACAAAAACACAAATGTAACATTACTGACTATATTGATGAAACAGGAAGATCGGGTGATGCAAAAGGCTGAGCCGATTTCTCCGTTTAGATATTTCACTATGTTAAACAATAAGCCCATGCCTGGTAACAAGCCAACACATAGGTGTACTATAGAATTTCCAAAAAATGCTTATTTGCAGTAGTATCTAATTTTTTTTTAAATAAGCTTATCCCCTGCTTTTGATTTAGATGTCAGACACCATGTGTTGCAATTGCCCATTACCATCCCCCCTCCATCCACACACACACCCACACTAACTCCCTCAGCTGATTGTTTTCCCCCTCCACCCACACACACACTCACACTAACTCCCTCAGATGATTTTTCTCCCCCTCCACCCACACACACACACACTAACTCCCTCAGCTGATTGTTCTCCCCCTCCACCCACACACACACTCACACTAACTGCCTCAGCTGATTGTTCTCCCCCTCCACCCACACACACTCACACTAACTCCCTCAGCTGATTGTTTTCCCCCTCCACCCACACACACACTCACACTATCTCCCTCAGCTGATTGTTCTCCCCCTCCACCCACACACACACTCACACTAACTCCCTCAGCTGATTGTTCTCCCCCTCCACCCACACACACCCACACTAACTCCCTCAGCTGATTGTTCTCCCCCTCCACCCACACACACCAACACTAACTCCCTCAGCTGATTGTTCTCCTTCTCCACCCTCACACACCCACACTAACTGCCTCAGCTGATTGTTCTCCCCCTCCACCCACACACACCCACACTAACTCCCTCAGCTGATTGTTCTCCCCCTCCACCCACACACACCCACACTAACTCCCTCAGCTGATTGTTCTCCTTCTCCACCCTCACACACCCACACTAACTGCCTCAGCTGATTGTTCTCCTTCTCCACCCTCACACACCCACACTAACTCCCTCAGCTGATTGTTCTCCCCCTCCACCCACACACACACCCACACTAACTCCCTCAGCTGATTGTTCTCCCCCTCCACCCACACACACACCCACACTAACTCCCTCAGCTGATTGTTCTCCCCCTCCACCCACACACACTCACACTAACTCCCTCAGCTGATTGTTCTCCCCCTCCACCCACACACACACTCACACTAACTCCCTCAGCTGATTGTTCTCCCCCTCCACCCACACACACACCCACACTAACTCCCTCAGCTGATTGTTCTCCCCGTCCACACACACACACTAACTCCCTCAGCTGATTGTTTTCCCCCTCCACCCACACACACTCTCACACTATCTCCCTCAGCTGATTGTTCTCCCCCTCCACCCACACACACCCACACTAACTCCCTCAGCTGATTGTTCTCCCCCTCCACCCACACACACCCACACTAACTCCCTCAGCTGATTGTTCTCCCCCTCCACCCACACACACTCACACTATCTCCCTCAGCTGATTGTTCTCCCCCTCCACCCACACACACCAACACTAACTCCCTCAGCTGATTGTTCTCCCCCTCCACCCACACACACTCTCACTATCTCCCTCAGCTGATTGTTCTCCCCCTCCACCCACACACACCCACACTAACTCCCTCAGCTGATTGTTCTCCCCCTCCACCCACACACACCCACACTAACTCCCTCAGCTGATTGTTCTCCCCCTCCACCCACACACACTCTCACACTATCTCCCTCAGCTGATTGTTCTCCCCCTCCACCCACACACACTCTCACACTATCTCCCTCAGCTGATTGTTCTCCCCCTCCACCCACACACACCCACACTAACTCCCTCAGCTGATTGTTCTCCCCCTCCACCCACACACACCCACACTAACTCCCTCAGCTGATTGTTCTCCCCCTCCACCCACACACACCCACACTAACTCCCTCAGCTGATTGTTCTCCCCCTCCACCCACACACACCCACACTATCTCCCTCAGCTGATTGTTTTCCCCCTCCACCCACACACACACTCACACTAACTCCCTCAGCTGATTGTTCTCCCCCTCCACCCACACACACACCCACACTAACTCCCTCAGCTGATTGTTCTCCCCCTCCACCCACACACACTCACACTAACTCCCTCAGCTGATTGTTCTCCCCCTCCACCCACACACACTCACACTAACTCCCTCAGCTGATTGTTCTCCCCCTCCACCCACACACACACTCACACTAACTCCCTCAGCTGATTGTTCTCCCCCTCCACCCTCACACACCCACACTATCTCCCTCAGCTTTATAAAAGACAAAGAGAAAGAAAAGAAAGCATATGAAATGATGACAGGAATACAATACTCTGTTTTAGAGGACACTTACCTGGAGGATGTTTTGGGTTGGTTTCCCTCACGGACTTCAACAACAACCTTGCTTTCTTTACATCACTGTTAATAAGGTTACAAAACAAAAGTTAACTTGCAGATGGCTTCAATGAAGACTTTGTAGAAATGAGAAGTCACTTCTGATCTAGAAAAAGTTTATCAGCAATAAAGGTATTAAACAATTACTACTGAACACAAGACATTTATCTGCCAATAAAAACACAGGAATCAATGGTCTCCTTTAATGCACGGGAAATAATATTTACATTTTAATGACCAAGTTTTTAAAACTAAGTCCAGAACAGTTTAATTTTTACAGGAAGCAGTTTTTACATAATGTAATTACATACATGGTACTTTATAATTGTGATAAGAATTATCATTTCATTTTCACATACAAAATCAGAATACTAACGGACTTACGCATTCATAACAATACTGTCTCAGATGCATGAACTACATAAAACAACACAAAACACTCATATGAAACCCTATGTGGGAAATCATTCATTTTCGTGGGGAATATATTTCTTTTTTATTTCCATGGAATTCATCGACAGTCTAAATTCATGAACTCAAATTTCCATGAAATAATAAACAGATGAAAAGTTGACATAAAATGTAGAACTAGCTGATTTCACAAGATCTAGCGGATTTCACAAGAACTAGCGGATTTCACAAAAACTAGCGGATTTCACAAGATCTAGCTGATTTCACAAGAACTAGCTGATTTCACAAGATCTAGCGGATTTCACAAGATCTAGCGGATTTCACAAGAACTAGCGGATTTCACAAGATCTAGCTGATTTCACAAGAACTAGCTGATTTCACAAGATCTAGCTGATTTCACAAGATCTAGCTGATTTCACAAGATCTAGCTGATTTCACAAGATGATTTCACAAGATCTAGCTGATTTCACAAGATCTAGCTGATTTCACAAGATCTAGCTGATTTCACAAGAACTAGCTGATTTCACAAGATCTAGCTGATTTCACAAGATCTAGCTGATTTCACAAGAACTAGCTGATTTCACAAGATCTAGCTGATTTCACAAAGATTTCACAAGAACTAGCTGATTTCACAAGATCTAGCTGATTTCACAAGATCTAGCTGATTTCACAAGAACTAGCTGATTTCACAAGATCTAGCTGATTTCACAAGATCTAGCTGATTTCACAAGAACTAGCTGATTTCACAAGAACTAGCTGATTTCACAAGATCTAGCTGATTTCACAAGATCTAGCGGATTTCACAAGATCTAGCTGATTTCACAAGATCTAGCTGATTTCACAAGAACTAGCTGATTTCACAAGATCTAGCTGATTTCACAAGATCTAGCTGATTTCACAAGATCTAGCGGATTTCACAAGATCTAGCTGATTTCACAAGATCTAGCTGATTTCATGAGTAAGATTTAACTACAAAATTAAGAGCCAGCAAAAAAACGTATTTTTGGAAAACCATTAAATTTTTATCCCTTGAAGATATAGGATTTTGCAGTATTCTTACTTGATATCGCCCCCATGACTTGGTAACATGGATTGGAGGTCAGTGAGGTAACCTTTGGGATCCATCACAGTTTGACCACTAACAGAATCGGACACCTGTAAGAAAGGAATTCTTAATGTGATTAAAATAGAAAAAAAATCTATATATCTCTAACCCCTGTCAAGATCTGTAGTTTCAAAATGACAAACTGACACATCTAAAAACTCTACAAAGTTATGTCGAGTTACCTGAGTGGAATTAACATCTATATTTAGTAACTTAAATGAGCTTGATATGTATTTTTACTTACCTGAGTGAGCTTGGTATCTATGTTTACTTACCTGAGTGAGCTTGGTATGTATGTTTACTTACCTGAGTGGGATTAACACCTCTATTTAGTAACCTGAATGAGTGTGATATGTACGTTTACTTACCTGAGTGAGCTTGGTATGTATGTTTACTTACCTAAGTGAGTTTGATATGTATGTTTACTTACCTGAGTGAGTTTGATATGTATATTGATTTACCTGAGTGAGCTTGATATGTATGTTTACTTACCTAAGTGAGCTAGATATGTATGTTTACTTACCTGAGTGAGTTTGATATGTATATTGATTTACCTGAGTGAGCTTGATATGTATGTTTACTTACCTGAGTGAGCTTGGTATGTATGTTTACTTACCTGAGTGAGTTTGATATGTATATTTACTTACCTGAGTGAGTTTGATATGTATGTTTACTTACCTGAGTGAGTTTGATATGTATGTTTACTTACCTGAGTGAGTTTGATATGTATATTTACTTACCTCAGTGAGTTTGATATGTATGTTTACTTACCTGAGTGAGTTTGATATGTATATTTACTTACCTGAGTGAGTTTGATATGTATGTTTACTTACCGGAGTGAGCTTGATATGTATGTTTACTTACCTGAGTGAGTTTGATATGTATGTTTACTTACCTGAGTGAGCTTGGTATGTATGTTTACTTACCTGAGTGAGCTAGATATGTATGTTTACTTACCTGAGTGAGCTTGATATGTATGTTTACTTACCTGAGTGAGCTTGATATGTATGTTAACTTACCGGAGTGAGCTTGATACATATGTTTACTTAACTGGTTGAGCTTGATATGTATGTTTACTTACCTGAGTGAGCTTGATATGTATATCTACTTACCTGAGTGAGTTTAATATCCATCAGTGTGTTTCTCGCCTGGCCAATCTTCTTCATATCGATGTCTGAGGTGGTAGTGCCACCTAGTGGTGTGATTGCCCCGAAAGTTGAAGAATGGCCACCATATTTCTGGAAACAGTACATACTGATTTTTACCTAATCTTAAAATGTTTTAAACTTTTAACATTATGGGGAGTGCTTATGGTTTCCAATATCCTTAAACCAGAAAATGTAAATGAACAGGAAAAAATGTGAGCTCTTATTACACTTATCTTACAAAAAGTTTTGTCAACATGCCATTTCAAATCATTAAATGTATATTTACTAAATCTATCTGTATTATATAAGTCTTTAAGTATATTTTTTCCACATAAATGCTTGAAAGGATATTTGGCAAGTGATAGGTGAAAACATTTTCTTAACCAAGGAAAAGGCCAATATTTTGCAGTCTGTACTATGATAATTACTTCAAAAGGGCCGGCCGATCATGGCTGATTTTATTCTGTTTAAAATTGATTGGTATTTGATAAATTCTATTTCTGAATTCCACACACAGTATAATAAAATGCTCCCTGTATGTGCTACAACAGTCATTTCCAAGTCATCATTACTACAAGTTAACAAGTTGGAAACACTGAATGATAAAAGGAAATTTAACATCAATGATTTACCTGGTCACGATCAGATAGTGAGTTACTTGTACCAGTGCTGGCAGCTGCCCTAGCTAACATACTGTCTGGCACAGGGGTAAATCTACAATATAAATCCTAATTATAGAGAAATGACCGTCTGTTTACCTCAGACATAAATCTGTAGTGGTAACAAGGTGTTTACATGGTGTGTTCGGTCACATTTCAATCATGTCCTATGATATAATATAATATGATATGAATTATATCACTCTCATACCAGTGCACTTCATTTTGTTATGAAAATAACAAACTTATATCACACTTACATAATCAATAGGTAAATAATAAATTAATAAGCTATAATGACAATACATCTCTAAAAACCATATTTTCACCATTGACAAAAAAGACACATAAGACACTTGATGGTAAATGATGCCATCAAAAGGCCCAACGTTGTAATCACTTACATCTGTATTTACATTTACAATAAATGTTACTGCTCTGAAAAAGGCTCACTACCCAAAGCCAATTATATACAATGTATATATAATTTTCAAAATGATACAGAGAGATTGGCAGGCATAGGGAGACAACAATCCTATTCTTTTCCCCCATGGTGGTGGTTACTTGGCCTCAAATCTAAGGATATTTCAGATTTGTGATCCTCAGTCCTTCAGCCTTCAAGCTAAGGACATTTCAGACTTTTAAACTTACTTTTCAGCTCTGGGGTTCCTCTGTTTCTTTGTTCTGGCATCTCCTACTTCTGGTAGATTCAACCAATCATCCACAGTTACATCTGCTAAATCTCTCTAAAAAACAGAAACATTATGTTATAACTATCAGACCTGTTGATTAGTTTTAATTGATATGTTGGTTGGGATTTTTTTGGTTAGGACATAAAAATGTTGTAAAACTAGAGATACAATAGAGAAATAAAAAATGAAGAAATCTTTATCATGACTCAAGTGAAACTTAGAACTGTTGTCCTTAGGGTAACTAATACTAAAAGGTGCAAAGAGTTTATCATTAAAGTTTCAGTCACAGTGACCTGAACATCTGATGTAGGACCTTCAATTTCTCTATACCATTCCTTTATTAAACATAGCTGGTTTATAGAAATGCATCTGCATATGTTTCTAGATAGTCCTGTGTAGTTTTATATAATACGATTCATAACAAAAGAAAACTAACATTTTGGTAAATAGCACCACCCACATACCAATTTTCAGTTTAAGCAGACAATTACCTCAATTCTGACCAATCACGAACTTCCATTATGTTTCCATAGTAACAATTTTGGATACATATGACAAGTCAAATTATGAGCTTTTGCCATTACAAAAGTACATATTATGTATTGTAACCCAGACTTTCACAAAAAAAAATCCTTGTAATAACAGAAACACCTTGTGTGTCAAATTATCGACTTTGGCAAGTTTCACCATTTGGGCAAGTTTCATTAAAATTGCACCGACTGATGAGCTATGGGTCACTTTACAGCAACGCCAGCACCATGGCAACCCCACATTTCTGCCAATAAAAACATGGATGCTTAACTACACATGGTCTTTAAACATTCCCATGTAGTTTCTAAAATCAGTTCACAAGTGTCAGTGTTGTGCAGAAAAGATCCACATACTGACAGATGGATAGAAAACCTGATTCAGTGGGTGGAGGAGTGGGAGATGGGGGAGGGGGAGGGGGGGGGAGAGTTGGTTGAATAATTAAATCTTTTCTATCTAGCACTAGCACTTTGTAAACAACTAAAAAAAAAATGAACTTTTGGAAAAACTACCGTAAAGAATGTAACAACTTTCCATTTTGTCACTCAAATATTCTGGATTCCAAGTTAATTGTTTGTGTTCTTTGCTTCTATATTGAAAACAAAATCAGTACTCTACTTGTAAAACAATAAAAAATTGCATCAATACTTTGTTAAGTAAAACATTTTTCTATACAGATTGTTCTTTTCCAATACTCATTTAAATATCCTATTTTATTTGAAAAGTTGAGAGTATTCTCTTCCTGATACCAGCTTCACTGGTTCTGTTAAAACTGAAAACCTTCATTGACAACAGTACTTATAACCCCACTCATATCTATTAATTTTCTACAGAGAATATACCTGTTATTTGACATGAAACATGCCCTCCCATAATAAGACCACAACCTAAGTATAATTCACAGGTAATATGATGGCATTACTGGGCTTATTATGAGAAGAAAACAAGAGAAAATAAATCAAATGTTTTTTTCTTTTTTAATTGCATCTATAAAACATATTTTACAGTGTTCTACACCACTGAAATGTAATCAAATAAATTTCAATTAAATTTCAAAACTTTTATGTTTTCTAATTACAGAAAAAAAAGAAATGAAACTAGATGTACCAGATTGATAGTAATTCCCGTTTTGTCAACCATGAAGTTTGTAACAAGCTTTGATAAGAAGTTTACTCATAACTCATGACATAAAATTGAAGTTCTGAAGAATTTGTTTACCAGTTTCCATTGAAGTTAGAAAAAGACTGTCCAGATTTGGTTTCACTGTTTCTGTGAGAAATCTAATGAATTTCCAGCAGAAATGAAACTATGACAAAGTAATGGCCAAGGATAACAATGTTATTTACCAAAAAAATAAATAAACACAACAAAGATATCTAACCTTTAAATCAGAGAATTGCTGCTGAATTTTTGGTCTCTCCTGACGATATTTTTCAAGCTCTTCTTTCAACTTGATTTCTCTCCTTTCCCTTCTCTTTTCATCCATTCTCTTATCAACAGCTTCATATATAGCATCTGCTTCTTCATCGTCTTTGTCATAGGGATCTTTAGAACAAAGACTCCCTCCGTAGCCAGCAAACTAGATATAGTGTAGATATATTTTATGAAAATAATGCCAGCAAAACAGGTTGGTGAAAATGCATTCTGATCAGACTGTTTCATCATAATTTAGCATCATATAGTACATCTTATTAAGGATCAATCCAGGATTAGTATGAGGCAAATATGTTAATTTAATTAGAAACATATTTGTCTTGATGAATCAATATAAAACCAACAGAGTTTTTCTAAAATTATTTTACATTTCTTTTCATTTAATCAGAATTTGATTACCGTAATTGAGTATAACTTGAGACTTTCTCAAATTCATAGATCTGAAACACCACATGAGCATGTAGTAAAATTATTTCAAATACTGTAGATCTCATAGATAACAAGCTATGTCTTATTGGAGTTACAACTCACATGGTTTTATCACTAGTGTTTTTGTTTTCAAAATGATGACTTGCTGTTTAAAAATACAATTGAATACCTCATCAAAATTAGCTTCATTCAGATCTTCTTCCTCTTCTTCATCATTCTTACTTTTCTTGACAGGTGGTGCATGTCTGTCATCACTGGATAAGAAATTGTATAATTTGTGAACTTTTTTTACAAAAATTATGATGAAAGTATTTGGAAATTATTATCAATTTTTACTTCCATTACAAAAATTATGATGAAAGTATTTGGAAATTATTAGTAATGTGATCACCCCAAATTCATGGTTATAGCGATAAACTCAAGTATTAACTAACATTTATTTAGACATATATAGCAGTACACAGGTTACTGACTATGTCGGGATAATGACTACTACAAGGTATTTCAGACTTTGTAGAGTTACAATTATCATACCCTTCGATCAGGGAAGCCATGTTGTGTGGTTGACAAAGGTTAGTTGACAGAACCAAAAATCTACCATACAAAGTAGCCTTTCATACCGCAGATATACATGTTTACGTGCATATTAACTATCGTTTCTTATCAACAGACAACCTACAATAGCATAAATGTACATGAAAACATTTTATTTTGAACTTTATAATAGACTCAGTTAACCGGGTACAGATTTTGCAACCCGAAATGGTTGACCCGGGTACTCGTATAGCCCTAATCATAGGGTTCAGTACTCAAAAGAACAACATTTAACAAGATTAAACTACTTAAAAATATTTAAATGTCAATTAAACTGTTCAATAAACATATCTAATTTTGATAATCATTCTTATTTTCTCTCCATTCTGATAAAGTTATAATAACCTCTCAAATTGCTAAAGTGCGATTATGTTATACAATACAATTTGGTACCAAAAAAGATGATAGATTAGATGTACAAAATTAACTTACGATATATCATCTATATCTCGGGCAGGACCAATATCAGATCTGGTGGTGAATCCAGTAGCTCTGAAAACAAAAAAATAGGGATCACTACTTGATAAAACCGTCAAAATAGGTGACATAGACTTAGATCTTATTTTGTTTTTAATCTCGATAGAATCATAGTTAAATGGTCTCGTTAACTTATCCCATGAAACAGACAACAAAAATGACCCAGAAATAATTTTCAACAGAAAACCGTAAAAGAGCAAATGATATATTTCGCTTTCAAGTGTGAAATTCGAAAATATATAGATATGCATGTGATCCGTCATAACTGGTTACGTCCCACGTTGAACCGTAAATCAGCGTCATTTCAAGTGAGATACATATGAAACCTTTTTCATTATTGTACAGACCCTCTTCCCAATCCAGGAACATATCCAAGAGGTGCCGGTAAACCGATAAAACTCTTTTTCTTGCGGCTAACCAAAGATTGGACCGACATTGTTGTCTTTTTCGGTTTTCTGCACACTTCCGGCGATCTGCATCAACGTCCAACTTGCGTTTTACGACGAAAGAGTTACTTCCCTTCCAATTGACGTCATAGTTTGTTTGAAAATGGCCGCTGCTTAGCGATGCACAGGTGCGTGAAACTTTTTCACTTTCTTGTGAAAAACATACCTCTAGCTAACTCAAGTCACAGATAAATAATGCTATTTAGATTTATTTTGATAAGATATTTACATGCCAAATATATGCAACGTAGATAACGTCAAAACGAAAAAGAAACGCAAGGGAGTAAGTTCCCTCTGGGGTTCCTGGCAAAATGCCACATGTCTTTTACGCCATCAACGATTACAATTTCTCCATACTTTGTATTACGACTATATCCTCAGAAAACTCAGAATACAATATGAATGTTTTGCTGCCAGTATTCGGTATCAGTGCCAAAGCAGTGGCACCTATATAGTACACTAAAATTAGAGATGTACTGTTCAGGTATGAACATAACCCATTCTATAGGGTTTATCTGGTGAGTCCAGATCACCATTTACAAAATTTCGATGAGTCCAGTTACAAAGAAATACAAAGTTCACAAAATTTTAGCGAGTCCCACTGGGAAAGCATAAATCCATTAATGAACTTTGTAAATAAAAAAAAATCATAGATATCTACATTTGTTGGAGAATTTTTCAGAGTTCAATTTTGCTCTTGAGTAATAAGGTATTACTGTAAAAATTGTTTGTAAATCTGTCTTAATAATATCTATGTTGAAGTAAGGTTACACAAATATATACATTTCAAAGTAATTTTATAGCCAGATACTATTGTGTAACGGGATATACAGGTGCATGTAATCGTGTGCTATGCCATGCCCTGTGTTATATGTCTTTGTCTTTGCTCTGTTTCTTAAATGTCTGAGGGCATACCAGTATCTGCTGTATAATGACTGAACAACTGACCAATTGACAGACAAGGACACTTCACATGTATTTCCCGCCACTTTAGCACATACATATAAAGCGACCTGGACCCCTCGGCCACAGGTCTTCAGATTATAATTGACATCTAGCAATGGACATCATATTATTTTCCCTATAACTATACATATCTACTGCCTAAGCTGCAAAGCTTTGACACCAATACATTGATGGTGGAGAGGACAGCTGCTCCAGGCTTTTTTCCTGTGTGTATAATGCAACATGATCTTCTTTGAAAACTTCACATTCAGCGAAGTTGATAAAAACTGTGAAAATATATTTATTGCAGCTGAGGAGCTATATTGAAGGAAACATCAAAAATCAAAATGGCAGATTCTTCAGCATCCCCCAAGAAGAAAGGTAAATTAAAGAATGAATGATATTCTTAATATGGATACTCATAGACTTACATCTATTCTAAATCCATGGGATACTGCTCCCGCGAATTTGTGTTGTAATATAACAGAGACACAACTCTGACAGTTACATATGGAATATGAAACAAGTCTTCCATTTATGAACTGAGATTGTTGTGCTTAATGTATTGTATTGAATATGTTTTGGATGAATGATCACAAAATAAACAAGAGTTCATGAAATGTATGTGTAGATTTTTTACCTGATTTTAGAAATCGATACAAATCAATTTTGTTTACGCATAATTTATTTCAAAATCAGTATAAAACACTTAAAGATTCACTGACCTATTTTATCACTTTTGTACACCTCTTAAGATGTATGATAGTGTGAATTGAAAATGAGTAAACTTATTTACTTGTTAAAGGGGCCAGGAAATCAAAGCGTCCAGAACCGCTTGGAGAAGAAGGGCATTCTAACCCAGGAACACCTTCTCCAACCAAGTCTGGAACACCTACCCCATCACAGACAGGAACACCTACCCCTCAGGCATCACCAGCTAAAACTGCATCGCCAGTGAAAGAGAAATCTCGTTAGTCTTCTTCTCTTATGATGAGTAAAATCAACGAGGGTGTTTAGTGACATGAAAGCAGACAAAAGTCACAGTGACAATAACTTTTAGCATGTAATGATTTCACAAAAAATTTTATTATTATTACGTCTGTCAGAAAAGATACAGTATTCAAGTTATACACGGTTTTAAAAAAACTCTAATTTTATCAATCTCATGAAAAGACTTTTTCGTTTTTTTTAATAAATATACTTATAAAGAGGGATGGAAGATGGATATTTCATCCAGTAAAATATCAAAATGTTTGCTTTCCATTTTTTATCAGAGGATGTGTTCCCCACAGATGTCCCAAAGAAAGAGAAGATGCCACCATCTCCTACTAAATCTGTTGAGGTAAGTAAAATGTTTTTAAACCTGTTTAGTTGGCTTGACATCTCCAGTCAAATGTTGTTATGTGTAGTAAATAATCTTGAGCAGATTTAGTAGGAAAGGAGAAGAAATGTACGTGGTTTTTGTTCCTGTAACAACCAATGTATTGTCTAGCTGTAAATGTTTTCTGTGTAAATTTTGAAAAGGCAGAGTATTATACTTTATAATCACTTATTGATAAATTTCTATTGATTTTAGACAGTGTGTTGTACTTCTATAATTCAATAATCCTCTCACAAGTATTTATTCAGCATCTTGCTAAACTAGAATCCTTCACATTGAAATTCATCTCCATTTCTCTTTTCTTATAAATGTTGATGTGAACCAGTCTGTAATTATGATACAAAACTTTGCATGGCTGTACTTTGGTCCTATAATGTATGCCTTTTAAATGGAATGTTTAATGTTTAAGATATTGGTGAACCTCAAAGTCTCCAAGGTTCGACAATAACATAAATATCCAATTATAAACATAAAACATCATAATATCAATCTTTGATTGCATATATTATAGGATAAGACTTAATCTACAACACCTAAATACACTATTAGAAAAAAGAATTCTGGAAAAAAGTTGGAAAAAAGCCCAATTTCTCTTTTTCTGTTCATCATAACAAATATTTGTATGTATGAATCAAAATAGATACTTGATTTACCTTTTAACATTCCTAGAGCTGAAGAAATGCTTTCTGTTCCAGACAAAGAAGAAAGAGAGCCAGTCTGTTGAGTTTACCAACATTGACCCCAAGGCCTATGGTATTGAGTTTGAGGAAGAAGAGTTTGTGTTTGGTAAGATAATGGACATAAGGTTTTTTAATACATGTATCGACAGATTCTGTGAATATATGCAAAATCTGTTTCAATCTGTTTAAATTTAGGGAAGCTGTCAAAAGAAACACAAATTGTAATACAATAATAAACTTTCACAAGAAGTTGTTATCTGCACCAGAAAATATATCCGTACCACATATTGACAGTCTTTCTAGATACAGGATTATTAACTTTTCACACAAAACATAGATACCAACAGATCTAGATATCCTAACAATACACACAAAACATAGATATCAACAGATCTAGATATCCTAACAGTACACACAAAACATAGATATCAACAGATCTAGATATCCTAACAGTACACACAAAACATAGATACTAACAGATCTAGATATCCTAACAATACACACAAAACATAGATATCAACAGATCTAGATATCCTAACAGTACACACAAAACATAGATACCAACAGATCTAGATATCCTAACAGTACACACAAAACATAGATACCAACAGATCTAGATATCCTAACAGTACACACAAAACATAGATACCAACAGATCTAGATATCCTAACAATACATAGATATCTCCACTAACCTACATTACCTATACTTCCTTATCCACAAAAGACTTTGATATCTCCACAAGATTTGGAATTTCCCCATCAGACTTCGGTATCCCAACAAGACCTGGATATCCTGATAACATATATATCCTCATAAGATTTAGATATCCTTGTCAGACGATGACATCCCCCACCAGACTTTGATATCCTTGTCAGATGATGACATCCCCCACCAGACTTAGATATCCTTGTCAGATGATGACATCCCCCACCAGACTTAGATATCCTTGTCAGACAACGACATCCCCCACCAGACTTAGATATCCTTGTCAGACAATGACATCCCCCACCAGACTTAGATATCCTTGTCAGATGATGACATCCCCCACCAGACTTAGATATCCTTGTCAGACAATGACATCCCCCACCAGACTTAGATATCCTTGTCAGACGATGACATCCCCCACCAGACTTAGATATCCTTGTCAGATGATGACATCCCCCACCAGACTTAGATATCCTTGTCAGACAATGACATCCCCCACCAGACTTAGATATCCTTGTCAGACAATGACATCCCCCACCAGACTTAGATATCCTTGTCAGATGATGACATCCCCCACCAGACTTAGATATCCTTGTCAGACAATGACATCCCCCACCAGACTTAGATATCCTTGTCAGACGATGACATCCCCCACCAGACTTAGATATCCCACTGAGACGATGACATCCCCCACCAGACTTAGATATCCTTGTCAGACAATGACATCCCCCACCAGACTTAGATATCCCACTGAGACGATGACATCCCCCACCAGACTTAGATATCCTTGTCAGACGATGACATCCCCCACCAGACTTAGATATCCCACTGAGACGATGACATCCCCCACCAGACTTAGATATCCTTGTCAGATGATGACATCCCCCACCAGACTTAGATATCCTTGTCAGACGATGACATCCCCCACCAGACTTAGATATCCTTGTCAGATGATGACATCCCCCACCAGACTTAGATATCCTTGTCAGACAATGACATCCCCCACCAGACTTAGATATCCTTGTCAGACGATGACATTCCCCACCAGACTTAGATATCCTTGTCAGATGATGACGTCCCCCACAAGACTTTGATATCGTCATTTGACTTCTATATGAACATCAGACCTGGATATCCCCACAAGGATTAGATATCCCCATCAAACATAGATATCTATAATGACTTGGATATCCCCACTAGGATTAGATATCCCATTTGAAACTCTACAGAAAATTCTATTTAATTAATAGTATAGTGATTTAGAATTAGTGTTATTAAGTTGTTACAATAAGCTAAAGTGATGTTTTCTATTTAAACTATTTAATTGATAGGTGACCAGTAATGACTAAACACTGGGAACGTAAGATAATGCAAACCTGGTGATAAAAACTTGAGAACTCAGTGTGCTCGAGAGGCTTTCTCTCCTGTTTCAACACTTTGGTTTGAGTTGTATTCTGTTTTTGCTTACAATTGTGTTTTGCTTTTGGTTGTATTTGTATTCTGTTTACTTGGAATGGTAGAAAATTCAGAATTGTTGATATTTTTTATCAATATATAGAGTTTATCGTGACAGTTTCTGAAGAACTTACTCTCTATTGTTATTCTGGGAGCTGTTTATTGATAAAACTATAAAAGTTGCACTGATAAGATTCTTTACTACTAAGTAAAACGTATAAAGTGATAAAATGGTTAAGATATCTCTGCTAATTTGCATATTTCTTTCTCTTCGTTTTTTGGTATAAAGACCCCCCAGCAAATGATGAGGCGCTGCCAGATCTCTACCGATTGCTTGATACACTGGAGGGGGGAGACAATGAACTGGAGACAGAAAGACAGCCACCTGCTCTTTTTACTCGCCCAGAACACCTTCCAAGGTTTAAGAAGATATCAGGTACTCTCTCTGCAGCTTAAAACTTGATGTAGTACAATCTTTCTGTAAGTCTTGAGATGTGTTTAAAAGAATTAATGTAATAAAATAAAACAAATGTTTTACATCATTTGTCATTCAAAAGGACCAATAGTCACTAGAATTGACAAAGTAGTCAATTAACTGCTAAACCTGCCGTATGTTTTAGAGAAGGGCCGATTATTACTGGAAGTAGAGGAGTAACCTTTAACCTTTTGTCATGTTTTAGAGTTGAAGCAGGAGATTGAGGATGCCGAGCTGGGACCTCACTTGGAACAATTTGAGGAGGGAGTCAAAGATGATGTGGTCATGCTTGGTCAAATCTCACTGGAGGATGTCCAGGAAGAGGAGAAACACCTGAGAGATGAACACATCAGGTGAGATATACCTATAGTTTTAAAGGTACAAACACCTCATGTCAGATATACCTATAGTTTTAAAGGTACAAGCTCTTATGAGTTCATTTGCATATGGTACCTATGTGCAGAGAGCAGGATAATTCATTTCAAAGATGAATTCTTTGAAATAAAATTCCTGTACAACTCTAATCAAACATAAATGTTATGCTGGTAAACATCAACTGAGCCACCTTGAAGTACATGTATTAACACAAGAAATTGCACTGAAAGATGTGAACCTGTTTGACTTGTTTAGCAAATTTCACAGTCATTCCACCCCCACACGCTTCAAAATCCCATCAGGGTTTGGATTAATATTGGGAGAATAAAGTTATACAATGGAGAGATTATTCCTGAGTAAATACAATATACTTGTCTGATTTGTCCTACCCTGATGTTTTAATTTTAAAGTTTTGTACTGTTTTCAGGTACATGGATCAGGAGGCTGAGAGGAAGAGAAAACAGAAAGAGGAACTCCTGAGGAGAGAAGAAATGGCTAAGAAACGTGTTGCTGAGGAAACCAAGAGGAAACGAGAAGAGATCATGCGTAGACTTGTAAGACTTTAATTGGCTTTATTTGAGGACATAATGTTCAAAATCTTTACAAGTGACTTAAGATTTTTACATGGTTTTTAATGATAAATTATTGCACATATCTATGGATGATCCAAAGAGAAAATGGCTATAAAGTTAAATTTGGCTTTGACTGCCAAAATTAAGAGAAATAATAATTAAAAAACTGAATCTCATCTATATATGTGGTTGTTTTCAAACATATTTGTTGAAGACATGATAAGAATTTATTCCTTTTGTTAACAGGACATGCTGAGACAAAAAGAGAAACTATTAATGGATCGTTTGCATCGTGCCTACCGCCGTGCTGAAAGTCAGCTCATCAGTGTCTTAGAACGCAGGAAGGGTGAAGTTAAGGTCCGTGCTTTCACAAGTGAATAGGATATTTTATCAATGTATTTATCCAGCAATACCTCCATATCTCATACTCAGTCCACTAATACAGTATTGTGGATACAGTGTTGTCAATGTGAATACAGTGTTTTCAAGTGTGAATGCAGTAGAAACATTTCTGTATGCTTGTAAAATGTTATCATTGCTGTGAAATAATATTCCATAGATAAGTTGAAAATTCTAATAAAATTATAAACTTTTTCCTCTTGATATACTGTCCCAATGCAAATCTTAGGTTTTATCATCAGATAATGATATTGAATATTCGCAGACATTCTACGGTGACCTGATGACTATAGATGGTCAGTATGGGGGAAGTCAAGGTCGTCGCTGGAAGGTCGACTGGGACAGAACACCACAGCCAATACAGGTCAAATTAGGATGTCTTCGTGGTGTCCGAGATAAACTGCCAGGTAAAATACTGATGTCCAGAACTGTTTGTGTGTCTCAGGGAGCTGGGCTCACACACTATCTGATGCTGCCATGGTTGTGTTAAGTTTGTGGTCCTACTGTGGAGCTGTTTGTGTCTCAGGGAGCTGGGCTCACACACTATCTAATGCTGCCAAGATTGTGTAAAGTTTGTGGTCCTGCTGTGGAGCTGTTTGTGTCTCAGGGAGCTGGGCTCACACACTATCTAATGCTGCCAAGATTGTGTTAAGTTTGTGGTCCTACTGTGGAGCTGTTTGTGTCTCACGGAGCTGGGCTCACACACTATCTAATGCTGCTGTTTTTATGTATAGTTCATGGTTGAGAGTGTTTGCATTGATAATTTCTTTGGGAAAAAAATAGAAAAAAAAGGCTTTTTACAAAATTTGTATTACCTGATTCAATAGAAAATATGGTGAAATATGAGCGCTGTTGATTTATAGACATGATAATGTATAAAGTTATGCTTGATTTACTGACCTAGCTTGAATATGTATAATTTTTATTTGTAGGAGGCCGGTATGTTTTGATGGTGTCTCTCTACAATAGACTTGGAGGTCATGTGCTGCGTTGGTCAAAACTCAAGAGTCAGATGTGGGGAGCAGCCAGCTTACCTGTCCAGCATGACGGTTTCTTCTATAATGTAGAGATGAAGGTCAGTTCTTCCCAGTTTTAGCAAAGTAAAATAATTGACATCGTGGTGATCAATACACAATTGATGTTCATGAATGGTTTTTAACTTTATTGCTAAAAAAGGGGGTCAATGATGTAAAATTTAAGTACTTCCAGATATTCTGATCTGTCAGAATTCTATCAGTACAGGACTCAAGACTAACATGTAGATTGGTCATTGACATAGTAACACTATCATGTACTTACTTCTTAAAGATTAGCCGTTACAGTACAAGATATAGATATCTTGTATGTACCTATACATAGGTATAAGATAAACTGAGAGACATTATGACATCAGGAATGACACAGATCACATACAATGTTCATTACATTTATGAAGTTATTATTCATGACATTTTTCATATCTATACCAGGTAAAAACAGTTTAGATTAGGAACATAATTTAGATATTTTATCACATTGCTGGGGTTATCCTGTAATAAGCCCATGCTCAGTGATAAGTCCATCCACATATAATAATCTCTGCTCAATAAGATTTTCCTGTAATAAGCCCAGCTCTTTACTTGAAGTAGGTAAACTGTCACACATTTTATCTCATTGCAGAATAAATATAGTTTGGTCATGGAAATCTTTTTTCTATTTTCCAGTTTGATCAGAGTGTGTTTACTGTGCTACCCTCCAAAGCTTCCCTCAAGCCGGGTATGGTATTGGTGTTTGAATTGTTTCTGCTTCGAGGAGCGACTGTAAAATCAGACCGAGTCGTGGGCTGGGGCAGCTTTCCTATCTGTGATGCCCAGTTTGATATCATTGAGGGAAAGTAAGTATCCCATCAATCTTTGTACCTACATCATTAATTCTAGGTAACCCTGTGGAGGGAGGGAATCATTAATTCTAGGTAACCCTGTGGATGGAGGGAATCATTAATTCTAGGTAACCCTGTGGATGGAGGGTATCGTTAATTCTAGGTAACCCTGTGGAGGGAGGGAATCATTAATTCTAGGTTACCCTGTGGATGGAGGGAATCATTAATTCTAGGTAACCCTGTGGATGGAGGGAATCATTAATTCTAGGTAACCCTGTGGATGGAGGGAATCATTAATTCTAGGTAACCCTGTGGATGGAGGGAATCATTAATTCTAGGTAACCCTGTGGATCGAGAAAATCATTAAATCTAGGTAACCCAGTGGAGGGAGGGAATCATTAATTCTAGGTAACCCTGTGGATGGAAGGAATCATTAAATCTAGGTAACCCTGTGGATGGAGGGAATCATTAATTCTAGGTAACCCTGTGGAGGGAGGGAATCATTAATTCTAGGTAACCCTGTGGATGGAGGGAATCATTAATTCTAGGTAACCCTGTGGATGGAGGAAATCATTAATTCTAGGTAACCCTGTGGAGGGAGGGAATCATTAAATCTAGGTAACCCTGTGGAGGGAGGGAATCATTAAATCTAGGCAACCCTGTGGATGGAGGGAATCATTAATTCTAGGTAACCCTGTGGATGGAGGGAATCATTAATTCTAGGTAACCCTGTGGATGGAGGGAATCATTAATTCTAGGTAACCCTGTGGATGGAGGGAATCATTAATTCTAGGTAACCCTGTGGATGGAGGGAATCATTAATTCTAGGTAACCCTGTGGATGGAGGGAATCATTAATTCTAGGTAACCCTGTGGAGGGAGGGAATCATTAAATCTAGGTAACCCTATGGAGGGAGGGAATAATTAATTCTAGGTAACCCTGTGGATGGAGGAAATCAATACATGCCATAGAAAGAGGGACATCAGTAAATCATTGTTACCCAGGAGGTGGAGGGAATCCATAAATCTTGTTATTCTTGTAGAATGAGGGACATTAGTAAATCGTGATAACCCTGCAGATAGCAAGACATCAACAAATCTTTGTTACCCCAGAGGTGGAAGGAATCTGTAAATGTTGGTAACCCATTAGATATAGGGCTAACAATTAGTTTTGGTAACCCTGTAGAAAGAGGGATATGATTGAATCTTGGTAACCATGTTGGTCGATGAACATTAGTGGTCTTGATCACCTTGTATGCTGAGGGACATGTGTAAATATTTGTAACCTGTAGGCTGAGGGACATGTGTAAATATTGGTGACCTGTAGGCTGAGGGACATGTGTAAATATTGATGACCTATAGGCTGAGGGACATGTGTAAATATTGGTGACCTGTAGGCTGAGGGACATGTGTAAATATTGGTAACATGTAGGCTGAGGGACATGTGTAAATATTGGTAACATGTAGGCTGAGGGACGTGTAAATATTGGTAACATGTAGGCTGAGGGACATGTGTAAATATTGGTAACATGTAGGCTGAGGATCATGTGCAAATATTGGTAACATGTAGGCTGAGGGACATATGTAAATATTGGTGACCTGTAGGCTGAGGGACATGTGTAAATATTGGTAACATGTAGGCTGAGGGACATGTGTAAATATTGGTAACATGTAGGCTGAGGGACATGTGTAAATATTGGCAACATGTAGGCTGAGGGACATGTGCAAATATTGGTAACCTGTAGGCTGAGGGACATGTGTAAATATTGGTGACCTATAGGCTGAGGGACATGTGTAAATATTGGTAACATGTAGGCTGAGGGACATGTATAAATATTGGTGACCTGTAGGCGGAGGGACATGTGTAAATATTGATGACCTATAGGCTGAGGGACATGTGTAAATATTGATGACCTATAGGCTGAGGGACATGTGTAAATATTGGTGACCTGTAGGCTGAGGGACATGTGTAAATATTGGTAACATGTAGGCTGAGGGACATGTGTAAATATTGGTAACATGTAGGCTGAGGGACATGTGTAAATATTGGTAACATGTAGGCTGAGGGACATGTGTAAATATTGGTAACATGTAGGCTGAGGGACATGTGCAAATATTGGTAACCTGTAGGCTGAGGGACATGTGTAAATATTGGTGACCTGTAGGCTGAGGGACATGTGTAAATATTGGTAACATGTAGGCTGAGGGACATGTGTAAATATTGGTGACCTGTAGGCTGAGGGACATGTGTAAATATTGATGACCTATAGGCTGAGGGACATGTGTAAATATTGATGACCTATAGACTGAGGGACATGTGTAAATATTGATGACCTGTAGGCTGAGGGACATGTATAAATATTGGTAACATGTAGGCTGAGGGACATGTGTAAATATTGGTAACATGTAGGCTGAGGGACATGTGTAAATATTGGTAACATGTAGGCTGAGGGACATGTGTAAATATTGGTAACATGTAGGCTGAGGGACATGTGCAAATATTGGTAACCTGTAGGCTGAGGGACATGTGTAAATATTGGTGACCTGTAGGCTGAGGGACATGTGTAAATATTTGTAACATGTAGGCTGAGGGACATGTGTAAATATTGGTGACCTGTAGGCTGAGGGACATGTGTAAATATTGATGACCTATAGGCTGAGGGACATGTGTAAATATTGATGACCTGTAGGCTGAGGGACATGTGTAAATATTGGTGACCTGTAGGCTGAGGGACATGTGTAAATATTGGTGACCTATAGGCTGAGGGACATGTGTAAATATTGGTGACCTGTAGGCTGAGGGACATGTGTAAATATTGGTAACATGTAGGCTGAGGGACATGTGTAAATATTGGTAACCTGTAGGCCAAACGACATTGCCAGAGGGCATCTGTTGTATTTAAATCATTGGAAATTAGTTGTTATTGAAGACTAGATGTAAGATATCTATTTCGTTTAGTCTGTCTCAGTTTGTTTACAATTTTTGAAAGTCTATGGTCTACAACAAACATGATCTTTACTGATCTAAAGACTAATCAAGTTGTTTTTGTTGTTTAGGTACAAGTGTCCATTTCTACGAGGCGAGATGGACCCTAACATCGAGAAACATGAGAAGGTCGAGGAGTTGGTGGCTGGAGACCTTGACCATTGGCTCTGTAACATGTATCTAGAGATTGTCAAGCTACCAAGGTATGTAACCTTCACCTTGTGAAGCAATGCTATAAAACAGGAAAACATTTGCCTTCACATTAGATTGTACATTTAAGCCCAGAGTTGAATTGACCTTAAAATCCAAAAGAGTCATATGTGTCAGTTTTATTTAACAAATTTTAGTTACTTGTTATTTTCAGTCAAGCGTGAAAATTTTAAAAATTGGGTTGAGTCAAATTGTAGTGAATGTTTTCTGTCTACAGTAGCCACAAAGTCTATAAATAGAATCAGGATGCTGACATTATGACATTAGTAACTTGTTGGAATAAAAAATGATCAAAGTTGTGTTTGAAATGAAGGACTTTTTGAAAGTCCTGTGAGTACAAATTATTTGATTATCTTCAAACTGTACAATAACATGTCAACCAAGTGAGTCATTATTTTCATGTAACATAGGATTTTTACCCGAGCCACAGATATATATCACAGCACATTCATCATGTAATATACCAGTACCTGGTAATAAGCCCACCTACTGCTGTGTCAGTAGTAGTGTGAATAATTTCCTTTTTTTTATCCTATTATTAGCCCACCCAAGTCAGCTATCAGTTGCTAAGCTTATTGTGAGATGACTACTTTATAACCTGAAGCTCTCTACCTACAGGTTCCTTGCAGGACAGAAGGAGTATGAGGTGGAGCTGGAGTTTTCCTCTACACTGACAGCCTATCCTGATAGAGTGAAGACTGGAGGGGAAGAAAATAGAGACGGGGAGAATCCAGAACCTGGCTCCTCTACCACTGTAGGCTCTGAACAGGAAACAGATATTGGGTAAGTTTTTGCCACCACTGTAGGCTCTCAACAGGAAACAGATATTGGGTAAGTTTTTGCCACCACTGTAGGCTCTGAACAGGAAACAGATACTGGGTAAGTTTTTTGCCACCACTGTAGGCTCTCAACAGGAAACAGATATTGGGTAAGTTTTTGCCACCACTGTAGGCTCTGATCAGGAAACTAAGGTTAAGTTAGTGTATTTTGTGGTGCCCCAGCCGCTTCAAATGAGATAAAAACAGGAGACCATAAATGACCTATGGTATGATAATCTTCCAGACAATATGCATGGAGTGCTCTAATAGTCCTTCTGTTTACAGAGGTCAGATTTATTAAAAGAATTGAATTAAAAGCCTCCTGCCCATAGTTAAGTGTAGATCTTCACCATTTTCTCTGTAACATGATCTGTAATGCATTGGACAGGAGAATCTGTAAATCCAACATAGAGGTTACTTGTGTTTCTATTGAAGAGTTGTTGATCATTTTGGAACACTGGGAGTGTGGACACTAGGCAATCAAGTTTTCTCTGTGCACCTGTGTGTGTCCTTCCTGATAACTCATATCTCATGAACCCTGAACAGACCTTATTCATTCTAGGGACATAGCAACCTGTTACCAAGGTTTATGCTTGATTTGATTTTAATGGTAATTGGTCATTGGTCAAGGTTAAAAGGTCAAAGGTCACCTTTGACCACTTATATAAAGAGTTGGGAGATATGTCAATTTGAGCCCCTGTTCATGTTGTTTTTATTAATGTACCATGGAGAAAGTTACTGAGCACTTACCAAATTGTTTCATGATTTCTTACAGGGCATCACGTGATAGTCTCAAATCTCCATCATTTTACGAAACAGACAATGAGGGAGGTCGTTCTGTGAGGTCAACAGCCACAACCACCAAGGTCAAACTCAGTGAGAACAGTATGGTAAGAATTATGTCAAACATGATGAACAGTGATTATTTGATATGTTTACACAAAAAACTGTTACTAGTTACAGTGACAAAGAACATAAACAGAAATCATATTACTTGTTCTGTGTTTTTAATTTGGCTTGTTAAAAGGAAAAAAAGTTTCAGAAATCTTATACAAAATGAAAACAAATTGAAGGTTATAGTTCATAAGTGATTATTTTTGTGAAATGTTACAGAACGCATACTTTAAAAGTAGATTTTAGGATCATCTAGGCCGTACAGATATTATTGTCATTGTGACATCATCACTTCATTGTCCTCCTCTGATGTCTATTACATGAGGTGAAACATAAAAATATTACCTGGGTATATCTAGTGAATAACATGGTTACATTTAATAAAAACCTACCTGGTATTGATATGCTATGACTTCACAGCTGGAAACAACAACCTATGGTTCGCGTATCATACACAAAGATAGAAAAATGAACATGGCCATCGGATCAGATTCAGAGGATAGTGACTCTGATATTGACGACATGTATGCTATCAAGAAAGGTCAAGAGTTCAAACAAGTCAAAGGAATGCCAGGAATGTTCTATAAGGTAATTACTTAATGAATTTTTTATACCTTGTTCTGACTCCTGGATCAATGTCATTGCTCTACCAACTTTATTTCTTAAAAATTTTTATAAAACTGTACAGGATGACCTTGACATTGCATTGTATCAAGCTTCTAATGCTAAGGTCAAGGTCACTGCTACTATGAAAGGAAAGTCATAATTATAGAGCCATGAATGAATGTTTGTCTTGGTTGTGAAAATTTTACTTCTGAGTCTAACTTTTCCTTCAGCATAAGGAAAGTTATTTGAAAGTTACCAGATATATATATATATATATATATGATAAACAGACTCTTGTACTTTTGTGAATGTAAATATGAAATTTGACACCGATTCTTAGATGACTAACAGTAGCTAGAAGTCAACAGAATATTCCATTACAAACATTGGTCACAAATAATCGAATTAACACTAGGGTGATTTTGTCTTTTAATTCGTAGCATTACCTAAACAACCCACAAGATGACTACAATAAGAAGTTGTTTTCCATGCTTCCACGAACCACACTGCTTGCTCCTCCAAAGAACAAGAAGAAACTCACTCGTGTGGAACAGCTGGAACAACACTCGATAGCAGTACAGTTAGTGTTGATTCTTTGAAGGCAAATTAAAGTATAGATGATATAGGTTAACTAAAACCATGTTGTCAGCCAATGAGGAGTAAATCTCATACTCCTAACAAGAAAGAAATGTATCACAAAGCTTACTTGAGTAAATATAAAATAACTCTTCCATACCCAGATTTTTTATGCTGTTTATTACAATGATGTTTTTATTCCTGTTTCCAGCTAAATGTGGTATAGAATATAGGGTGGTATTTCAGCTGTAAATAGATGAAATATGTCTTTGTTTTATCATAAGTTAACAAAAATTATATGTTGCAAAAGTTAGCACAATCAATTTGAAAAATATTAAGTTGTCTACTACTGTTTATTTATCAGATCATTTACATACTTTTGGAGAGAAATGATTTAGTTTTGGAGAGAATGGTTTATTTTTGGAGAAAAAATGATTTATTAACACAGCAAGGCCAGTTGTTAACTATAGCATTGCAAGTGATATAAGCTATTTCTTATCTCTCTGCATAATCCCTCCCTGAAAGGAGAACAGGAAAGTTTTAGCATTCTTAAAGGCCAAAGCTTACTGTGCATCTGCTGTTTTGAATTGAAGAAAAATTTGGTTAATGTCATGCAGTCAAAATAAGAACTGGGGTAGATGAAATATATTTACATGTTGTATCAAGCACATTGGAATTCATAGAAATGATGATAATCATTGCCCACATATAAAATTTTATTTTTTGAAAACATTTTTACTTGATTTTGATGTAATGAAATATTTTCCAGACCTGCATTTGCTGGTAAGGGTCGTACAGCACGAAAGAGTTACGAGAAGATCCAGTACGTGGGGCGTCAATTTCTTGCAGAGCTTGGCCTCTCACAGTGGAGAAGCCGTGAGTTCTGGGGGATGATCCTCTTGTTCATTGTTATCTTCTTCATGAGGATGTTCATGCACTACATAGGACAGTGGTTGTATCTACATGTCATCGATATTCCTGTCAACTCGTAAGTCATAGTAGTAGTACCGCGGGACCTCTGACATAGGCAATGGGCTTATTACAAAACAATAGTATAAATTTTCTTACTGTTTGCTTGTAGAATTTACTTGTAGTTCATGACTTATCTTAAAACATCCTCGTTACTCCAGGGATTACGATCTCTCTCTACACCCCTTGAACACATCATGGCAAAATTGAAGGTTCAAGATAAGATGACTTGTGAAAAGGCTAGTTTGATCCTTTGATGTACATTAAAAGAATCTCGAGGTCGCATGATGGTGTAATGTAATTTCAGTAATTGCTTTTATTAATTTCTTAATCAATTTTCAATTCACGTCCAGTAAGTAATGAGTTTGTAATTAAATCCAGTGTTAGTTAAATTACCATCCTGGATAATAATCATCATATTTAGATAGCACTTATCTTTTATTTTGTTTTTGCAAAGGTTTAACTTTCTGCCCTACACTGTGGAACTGAACTACCAGCCGACACTTTTAGTGACAAGGGAAGAGATTGGAGTAGTCTGGAGCGGTCCACTCCTCAATCTCATCATCTTTTGTCTGTTTATCATCCTCGTCTGGATCTCACAGCTCTTGTTTGGACTTTTCCCAGACCTTGGATGTAAATTTGTCATTGTGTATGGACTCCATACATTCCTTGATCCTCTGACCATTCTCATTGTGGATGCCTCGTTGGGGGTAAGTGGGTGATTCAATCTAAGTTTTTTGGACAATAAGTATGCTAGCTTATATTGTAATGAAGACAAAACTTAATGATTTTAGATAGAGATACTGTAAAATTATGTATATTTTGAGGCTTAAATTTGATGGGTTTTTTCAAACAAATCAATATTTCATGGGCACTTGACCTAAAGAATGGAGACTTAGACTTACTTCATCATTAAAGATAAAGCAATTTCGCAGATATATTCTGTAAAGAGCTAAAACATCCAGTGAAAATTTTTATAACTTTGTATTCTAGCGGCAAGAGGTGACAGCCATTAATCCAATCGCTGACTTTGCCAAGTTGTACTGGCACTTTGATACAGTGGAAGGGTCAGGTCTGGCTGGTATCTTCCTCACAGCATTCATCTATGTCTTCCACATGTTTATGACTGCCTCCTGTCTCTACATGTACTTCCTTAGGTAATAAATAACAGTGATGAAATAAACAAGGGTTGTCAACAAATGTTCAAACATTTGTTTGGAAGTATTCTAAAGGATAAAGTTATATTCATCTGGGGGGTTGTTAAATATTAATGCTTGGACGGCCATTAAAATTTGTCTGTTCTTGAAAATTTTTTAATTATTATGTAGGCATTTTGCATTATACCCCACACTTATGTAAAAAAGTGATCTTCCGGAGTTTTCCGTTTGCCGTTTTCCAAATTTTCAGCCATAAGAGGAGATATCTTTGTATCTTCACAATCTATTTGACTTACTCTTATTTACTTTCTGTTGTCACTGTTTACAAACCAAGTTCATAAGAAAGAAAAGGGAGATAACCTGGAACATCACACTGGCCATTTAGGTGTCACTAGGGCAATTGAATAACAGATTATTTTATGAAGAAAATCATACAAGTGTGAAAAACAATCTTGACCAATGATAATATATATATGTTTAATATTTCAGACTCCATAACAATGGCCGTTTGCTGGATGTATACTGGCGTCTCCGTGGTGATGAAGACAAGTTCTTCATCCCATATGACCTTGAAGTTTCGAACCAAGAACTAAACTACATCGCAAAGAAGGCTGAGATGTGGCGTGGGGAAGAGGGTGAGCGACGCAAAGTGGCGGTGTTTGACTACATTTGGGAGGAGGAAGATGTAAGACATGACAGAAACTAATATATCTTGTTAATGATCAGAGATCAATCCACTGCACTTTTCGTTAGTGTGTACCGACATATCAGGAGATAAACTGTCATGGTCCTGCTCCTTACATTAACATATTAGAGTATCGAATACTGGTTTGGTTAACATTAGCACTTAATGAAGGTGTTTTTATTTGAAATTATTCTTACATCATTTACTTCAAGTTTATGTCATAATGAACAAGAGGTCCAAGGGGCCTGCATCACTCACAAGCTAATCCAGTTATTCAGTCGTTTGACAAAGAATTTCAAACATTAAAAAAAATTTCTGAAATGATTTCCTGATTGTCGGCCTATTCATAAAAATTGCTTCGGACCAAACTTGGAAAATATACTTGTATGGATGAAGGATTTTTAAGCACTTACATTTCCGCTTTTGTGCCAACATCTCTGATTGGGACAGAATCAAGGCATTCTCACAAAAAAAAGGGATTTTAGAGAATTTCATCTATTTCCATTCTTTGGCCTAGCGCTTCTGGACCCGGGGGGCCTATACCCATTATTTAAACAGAATTTATTCTCCTTCACCATAGTATTCTTCAGACCAAGTACGGACAAAATACGAACATTTCTACAGAATAAGAAGGATTTTTAAAAATTTCCTTTTTTTGCCCGATTGAGCCTTGCCCCCTCCTCTCCTAGGGAACTGAGACCAGCCATTCATTCAAAATTGATTTCCTTTCGCCCAAGAATGCTTCAAACCAAATTTAGGCAAATTCCAATCATTCTTACTAGAGGAGAAATTTTTTTAAAGAATTTGTTCTATTTTCCGATTTGGTCTCTTCCCTCCCACCATAGAGGGCGTGGACCCACTGTTTTATACAAAATTTAATCAGTCCTTCATGACCAGTTGTGATTCGTAAACAAAAAATTGATGGAAGGTTTCCAAGGTATCCAAAAATGCAAAAATAAATAAATAAATAGATAAACTTTGGCCGGAACCTTTATATAGAAATTATAATGCTCAGATAACATGTACAGTTGGAAAGTAAAAGTGAATCAAAAAGCTTTATGAAATGCTTTTGTTTCATGGAAACAGGTAGAGGACAGCATCTGGGATGAGAAGGGAATCGAAAATCGAGAGAGACAAGATGGACGCAAGGAGATCACAACCCATGTGTCTATTCACACTGTACATCTTGATGGTTTGAGGGAACTGTACCGACATTTCCTACGTCTGCCAGATGGAGCTGTTGTTGAGGTAAAACAGAAGTATTTATGAGTATAAGTATAAATGAGACAAGAAATCACACTTGTTGCCATTGCTAGTGTCTTGTCTAATCTTTACACAATGTTTAACCCACAGAAACATCATAAGTCAAATGTCAGATCTAACAGCCTTCCTAAAGGGAAGTAATTCTGTCAAATATAAGATTTAGAATCTAAAAAATTTAGTTTTATGCAATACTAACATAAATGTATAGGAATAACAGAATCCCTGAGATGAGATGATTATACAGAATGTCCTACAGCTACTGAGTCTATGTTCACCATCAACATGTAGCTATATTGATCTTATAGAGTCAGATGATAATAGGTGTTGATGTTTAGGATAGAAAGTTAAGGTTGATATAATTTCTACATGTATCCTATAACAGGTATTTGGAGATATCAGTATTCCGGGAATGGACAAGGATATCAAGAATGCACTGGAAAAGGGCTCTAAGGGGCTGGAGAAACTCATGGGCTCTCAGGATAGCCTAAACAAGGTATGTGTCTTAATCATCACTGGAAAAGGGCTCCAAGGGGTTGGAAAAACTCATGGGCTCTCAGGATAGCCTAAACAAGGTATGTGTCTTAATCAACACTGGAGAATGGGCTCTCTCTAAACAAGGTATGGCTGGAAAGAAACTCATGGGCTCTCAGGATAGCCTAAACAAGGTATGTGTCTTAATCAACACTGGAGAAGGGCTCCAAGGGGCTGGAGAAACTCATGGGCTCTCAGGATAGCCTAAACAAGGTATGTGTCTTAATCAACACTGGAGAAGGGCTCCAAGGGGCTGGGGAAACTCATGGGCTCTCAGGATAGCCTAAACAAGGTATGTGTCTTAATCATCACTGGAAAAGGGCTCCAAGGGGCTGGAGAAACTCATGGGCTCTCAGGATAGCCTAAACAAGGTATGTGTCTTAATCAACACTGGAGAAGGGCTCCAAGGGGCTGGAGAAACTCATGTGCTCTCAGGATAGCCTAAACAAGGTATGTGTCTTAATAATCACTGGAGAAGGACTCCAAGGGGCTGGGGAAACTCATGGGCTTTCAGATGCATGTCTTTACTGACAATCCTTTAAAGCTTCCGATCACTATCTCAGTATCAGGTTAATGATGTTTGAGAGTGTTTCATTATCAAAGAAGACATTTTTTAAAAGAAATTCTTTCAAAAAATTTGAAATTTGGAGAATCCTTTCTGTTTTCTAGAAAAACCAATAAATGGATACTGATTGAAGGTAATATACTGTGAAGATATTTCTGTGGTGAATTTAAAGATATTTATGTATATGTTATGAAATGGTCCATTACACAGAGTCCATGTAAAACAAGTTAGAGATGAGGTCAGTGGAGTTAAAGGAAAAAATTAATATATGAATAAAACTGAAATACCCAGCACATTAGAATACACAAGTTAAGAAAAAATAATAAAATTACTAACAATCAAGAAATGTGTCACAGTGGTTCCTATTGTGTTAATTTAGAAATTAGACACCACAAAAATACTGTCTGTTTTCTTATTCAAATGTTTCCAAAAAATCATTTGTCTTTCATTCAGTCATATATATTTCTAATCATAAACAGTAAAATATGATTTTGATTTATGATTTATGATTTATGATTGGAGATTTCATTATTGTAACTTGACTCAAGTGTATCCGTGACACCCTGTCTTTAGAAGAATATTTAATTGACAAAATGCATTAAAGTAACATATTTGCATTGTTTTGCATGTGAAAAATGAATAATGAATTTTTTTTACTTCTTTTTTATCTAATAGGTCAGAGGTCGACAAACTGTTCACACACGAAGCGGTTTCCATGCCGACTCACCAACCCCAAGCAGCGCTGGATCTTCCTTGGAGAACCTCAAGTCAAAGAAACACATGTAAATGTGACCGCGTATCTGTGATAAGATCATCGTCTTTTAGGAAGATTTGAAAGATCCAAATTATTTTTCATTCATAAAAGAACCAGCGAAATACATGAACCCATAAGAAATGTAGATACCACGTTACGTCTTTTTGACAAATCGACTTGTATCGGAACATCCAATAATAAAAGGACAGAGAATGCTGTTTCAAATATGACTGTTTTCCAACTGAGAATTTCCATGTAATAATATATGATTTTTTTCTGTTTTTGAATGTTCTGTATATTTAACAGGATTGTGATTTTTTTAATCATAAAGATCTAAATAAAGGCAACATATCTACTTGTAATAGGGTTAGTGATAATGGTAATGTTTCCTGCTCAGAAAAATGGATTTATGGTTGATAAATTGAATTATTCAAATAATGGGGATATATAAATATGTGTATATCTACCGGCAAAGAAATCACATTGAAGGTTTTCTAATGTTTTATGTTTAAATATTGTTTTGTATTGCTTACAAGGAGAAATCTCTGCAAAAGAGAGGTATTGGCGATAAGGTAAAATTTGTTTGAGATATCACATGACAGACATCTAATGGACGAAAATAGAAACAAACCTAGATATATAGATGAAAACCTCGCAAGAAAAAAGTATTTTATCTACTAAAAATATTGGGCACCTTCATTATGTATTTTGTTTTGGAATAATGATTTGTGTCCAATCTAAATTAGTTTTGTGTCCATTTTATTTTTTTACACTGGTACATGTAAGTACAGTTGGCTGTAACATATGAAAATGTTGTTAAAGGTATTTTTAAAAAAAATATTTTTGAAGTTTGAATGGTCTTTGATAGAGATAATTTGTTCAACACGTATAAAGTGTATCTCAATCTTTTAATTGTTAAATAAAATTTTATATTCTAATAAGCTGGCCTTAAAAAGCACGTCAAATTTAGACGATTTTGTTTTACATTTATGTAAGCAGGTCTTACTGTTCTATATCTATATCAATTTGTAGGATGTTATTTACACGTAGAGGATTTTCTCATTGTAGAACCACATGTAATGTTACTGTATATTTGTTTGAGACATGTAATTTAGATCTATGTATTTTGAAAAAAAAAATTACCATTGGACTCAGAAATTAATCACAAAAAATTTTTGCTTTGTAAATTTCCAATGTACACACATCAATGTGTGCTCAGGTCAAAGAGCTCCAATTCATGATTAACTATGGTCTTCAGATTAGGAAAATAACATTCTATACAAATTAGCAAAAATATGTGAAAATTATCACCTCCAGTTAATTTAGCAAGCATGCCAGACTGGAGTTTGCTTTATAAAATAATCTTCATATCGATTTGTGATGATATGTATTTTACTTAATGTTGCTAGAACTAGACAAAACAAGTAATGTGTATTTATCTAAAACCAGGTAACTAATTATTGTTAATACTAATGTTTTTTATTATTATTTACTTTTGTATAGAAACAGAAAAAACATTACCATGTCCTATTTTTTTTTGTTTTTTTTTAATGTACTGTTTTGTTTCATACATCTTAAAGTCTTTTTCAATCTATTTTTCTAGTTTTGAAAAGAATTTTTATAACATTTATGTTTTTGCAGAGTCCTGAATCCATCCAATTTAAATGTATCGATTTTTTAAGAATGAAATATACATTTTATGTCAGCCAAGTACCAAGTTCAGAAAGAAAATAAAAAGCATTTCTGACTTTACAAAAAATATTTAGAAGTGTTTTCAAAATATATATGTAATTTCTTAATTTTGTGATTTATGTAGTTTTCTTTCATTAAGTTGAAAACGTACAGACAATATTTTTATCATAAACAAATAATCAAGTAATGATGTTCCTTTTGGTGTGTGATCGGAACTAAAAAGTGTATTACATTTCAAATTTGAATTAACTGTGCAATATATTCTAGGACGAAAAATATTGGAAGTCTTTTTCAGTTTCTATCGAAAGATTTCTTTTTATATGTATTTTTTCTGCTCCAATATTCGGTAATTATTCTGTTCATGGTGTGTTAATTTGTTAAACTAGAATTGTGATTAAGAAACATTTCTGGCAAATGTTTGTATTTGTTATATATCAAAGTAATTACTTGAATTTTATTTATCGCAATAATAAACATGAGTCAAGGTTTCTCAATGCAGCCAATGCATTTATAATCAAATATGGGGTGACATGCTTTAAAATAGTGAATTTTGACAATAGCTTTTGCACCTTCAGTATTCAAAGTATAGGGTAAAAAATGTACAACCATTTCCCAGCCCCACCCAATTTATAAATGAAAATATGAAAAATAATGGAAAAACCAGACTTTAAATTATTGACTTCCATGCCCAGAATTATTGTACAAGAAATATGTTTCAATAGGATCTGAGTGGCTTGTATTAATGAGTTGCCTTGAGGCACCTTGACAATGTGATTGACCCAAGGTTAGAACACCCTGGTGGTGTATTGTGCTATACAACAACCTTCCGTCCATTTAAACACTACTCATATTAACTTGATGTCAGTATCCTGTAACAGAAAATAAATATATGCTATCTTTGCACAGTTTTTATTTTTAATTGTGGTCTCCGTTTGTCAGATATAATCTGATGTAGTTTCCTTTATAGTTGACATTGATTTTTAAATGAAATGTTGGTATGATAACTCAGTAGAACAACCTCAGGTGGAGAAGGGATAGGATTCAATCCTAGCCCAAGCCAGTATGTGTTTCTCTGTTACCTGAAATCACAGAATTTCACATGCTGTCCTGATTTTGTCCTTTGCAACAATTTCATTCTAGGTGCTCTGGATAATATATGGTAGGCCTCCTGTCTGTTGTTCATTGGGGTAGCCACCAGTCATTACAAGGATACCTGCCTCAAACAGTAGCTAAAAGCGTACGCATATTTTTCAGTTACATCCATATTAATTAACCACCAACTTTTGCAAATGATAACTCTTTTCTAGTCCTTCTGGTCATTTGGATAGATGCACTACACAGAGGGAGAACTAGTTAAAAAATCTCTTTTGTGTTGATTGGCATAGAAGGAAGCAGACTGGTTGAAATGCAGCGTGGGGAGGAGGGCGAGAAACTGCTGAATTACTGAGGAACACAAGAGTTGACGTTTTGAAGAGTGTGATTCCCAAACAGTCGGCGGTGCGCTGGAGTTGGCTTTTGAAAGAATTGGATTCATCTGCAGCCGGGTATATCCAGGAGTTGGCCTTTGGAAGAACGTCATTTCCCGCCAACCGGCTGTATTCAGGAGTTGGCTTTTCAAAAAGCGTGATTCGCCTGCAGCCAGTTGTATTCAGGAGTTGGCTTTTGAAAAAGCGTGATTCGCCGGCAGCCAGTTGTATTCTGAAGTTGGCTTTTGGAAGAGCATGATTCGCCTGCAGCCAGTTGTATTCTGGAGTTGGCTTTTGGAAGAGCATTATTCGCCAGCAGCCAGCTGTATTCAGGAGTTGGCTTTTGGAAGAGCATGATTCGCCTGCAGCCAGTTGTATTCAGGAGTTGGCTTTTGAAAGAGCATGATTCGCCTGCAGCCAGTTGTATTCTGGAGTTGGCTTTTGAAAGAGCGTGATTCGCCTGCAGCCAGTTGTATTCAGGAGTTGGTTTTTGGAAGAGCACCCCGTCAGCCAGCTGTATTCAGGAGTTGGTTTTTGGAAGAGCACCCCCGTCAGCCAGCTGTATTCAGGAGTAGGTTTTTGGAAGAGCATCGCCACCAGCCAGCTGTATTCAGGAGTTGGTTTTTGGAAGAGCACCCCGTCAGCCAGCTGTATTCAGGAGTTGACTTTTGGAAGAGCACCCCCGTCAGCCAGCTGTATTCAGCAGTTGGTTTTTGGAAGAGCATGATTCGCCGTCAGCCAACTGTATTCAGGAGTTGGCTTTTGAAAGAGCGTGATTCGCCTGCAGCCAGTTGTATTCAGGAGTTGGCTTTTGGAAGAGCATGATTCGCCTGCAGCCAGTTGTATTCTGGAGTTGGCTTTTGGAAGAGCATGATTCGCCTGCAGCCAGTTGTATTCAGGAGTTGGCTTTTGAAAGAGCGTGATTCGCCTGCAGCCAGTTGTATTCTGGAGTTGGCTTTTGGAAGAGCATTATTCGCCAGCAGCCAGCTGTATTCAGGAGTTGGCTTTTGAAAGACATGATTCGCCGGCAGCCAGCTGTATTCTGGAGTTGGCTTTTGGAAGAGCATGATTCGCCTGCAGCCAGTTGTATTCTGGAGTTGGCTTTTGAAAGAGCGTGATTCGCCTGCAGCCAGTTGTATTCAGGAGTTGGCTTTTGGAAGAGCATGATTCGCCTGCAGCCAGTTGTATTCTGGAGTTGGCTTTTGGAAGAGCATGATTCGCCTGCAGCCAGTTGTATTCAGGAGTTGGCTTTTGAAAGAGCGTGATTCAAAGGGGAAATTAATATGAATCATGTCCCGTGTCTGAAGGGGTTTAACAAAGGACAATTAATATGAGCCATGTCACGTGTCTGAAGGGGTTACAAAAGGGAAATTAATATGAATCATGTCCCGAGTCTGAAGGGGTTTTTGAAATTGGCTTATGAAATCATGATTCCGTGTCTGAAGGGGTTTAACAAAGGGAAATTAATATGAGCCATGTTGTATTCAGGAGTTGGCTTTTGAAAGAGCGTGATTCACCTGCAGCCAGTTGTATTCTGAAGTTGGGGTTACAAAGAAATTAATATGATTCGCCGTGTCTGAAGGGGTTACAAAGGGGAAATTAATATGAATCATGGCTTTTGAAGGGGAACAAAGGACAATTAATATGCATGCCGTGTTGTAGGGGTTTCAGGAGTTGGCTTTTGGAATATGAATCATGTCGCCGTGCTGAAGGGGCCAGGGGAAATTGTATTCATGGAGTTGGCTTTTTAAAGAGTGTGATTCGCCTGAAGTTACAGTTGTATTCATGGTGTTGGGTTACAAAGGTGAAATTAATATGAATCATGCCTGCAGCCAGTTGTATTTTGAAATTGGCTTTTGGAAATTAATATGATGTCGCCGTGCAGAAGGGGTTGTATTCAGGAGTTGGTGAAATTAATATGATTCATGCAGCCGTGTCTGAAGGGGTTTAACAAAGGACAATTA